TATGGCAATCTCTACTAGTAGGAACAAATAGACTCACAATTGCAACTTCACCCTCAAACTTATATACCCAACTGCAAATTTTTAATTCAATAAAATTGTTTAGTATTTCTTGAATTTGTCTTCTTCAAAATGACAATTAAAATTCTCAAAATATTTAAGACCTTTACATATCATTTCTTTTCTTTTTATTGACTTAAGAATCGTTTGCATTGTTTTTCTACTTAAGTGATAAGGGAGGAGATTAGTTTTGCATTCTTTGCTAATTTTCTTCTCCTTCCTGGACTTGCGTTGGGCAAAATATATGCCTCTAATAGTTACCCCTCCTACGAATAGATTTTCAAGGGAAAAGTTTCTGGAAAAGTCATAAATGTAAGGACCTCGGCATCTGCACTGTGTAATATTGTCCGCTTTGGGCCCACTGACCCTCACGGCTTTAAAACGCGTTGTCTTGGGCAGAGGCGCTCTCTGGCCCTTCCTCTCCCAAGCCCAATATTGTCCTCTTTGGGGCGTAAGCCCACAGGCCAGATCCACCCCTCAAGGCTTTGTTCTCAGCACAGCGGAAAGAGTGCCTCTGCCCAAGACAACGCGTTTTAAAGCCGTGAGGGTCAGTGGGCCCAAAGCGGACAATATTACACAGTGCAGATGCCGAGGTCCTTACAATAAATCTATTATATGTGTGCCAATTTAGTCTTAAACATTTTGATATAGTGCCAAAACGGTCCTTTCGGCTAATTTTGATCAGATATTGCTAACGCGGATGCCGATCGGCCTACGTGGCACGACTGACGTTGACAGCTTTTAATAATATTTTAATATTTTTCAAATTTTTATATATTTTCTTTTCTTTTTCTTTTTTTTCCTCACATCCCTTCTTCCTCTAGCCAGTCGCCGGACCTCGACAACCGGCCAGAGGCTAGGGCTGGTGAGGTCAAGTCTCACCTAGGCATGGCGAGGCTTGAGCTCTTGCTAGCGGTTGGGCGAGGCACGACCTCGTCGGATCTGGCGAGGCTCGACCCCCGCCAGCCTAGCGCGAGATTGCCCTTGTGGCCATCCAGTGAGGTTGACCTCGTCGGCCCTGGCCTCTGGCCGGTCGCCGAGGTCCGGCAACCAATTGGAGGAAGAAGGGAGAGCAGGAAAAAATAAAGAAAATTAAAGAAAAGAATAGAAGAAAAGAAACGAATAAATATAAAATATTAAATTATTATTAAAAGTTATCTACGTCAGCGTTGACCGTACCATGTAGGTCAACCAGTGTCTACGTCAGCAATATCCGGCCAAAATTAGTTGGAAAGAATGAATTGGCATTACGTTAAAAAGTTTATGACAAATTGGCACAAAAAAATGGTTTATGACTAAATTGGCATCAATGTAATAGGTTTATGATTTTTTTGACACTTTTCTCGATTTTCAGGGTTGCAGATCCACTGCATCCTACTTTGATCTTATATGCTCTTGTTGCCGTGCAATCGCGACACATATCGATTCAATTTGGAACGAAAATCTCACTTATTGGGATTTTCTCTAATCCCACAAAGTAAGATTCTCTAGATGTGGATATAACAAAAACAAAATAAGAGAAATTATAAACTCCAACAAAACCCACAAAACATGCACGATCATACAAAAATATTGATTCGTACCTGCTTACGACCTTAAGTCGAGCGACCATGGCCTTGAGTTTTGCACCTCGAAGCTCGAGTAATTGTTAGTGGTCTGCCCTAGGAATCAATTAAGGTTGATACTCTAATATTAGTTGTGGATTAGGTTGTGTCGGAAAACCGACTTTCACTATACTTAGGTAGTCATAATGTCTTGCTACAGACCGCTTATGACTTGTGGGCCAAAAAAGGTTTTGAGCACACTGCTAATGTTTAGTGAACCTACAGGGTCGCACACAATAACAAACTGAGTTAATATTTTCTGTGCGTTGGGATCTACTTAAAATAAGAAGTAGATTTTAATTTATTCTCATATTCAACTTATCTACGCGATCGTGCACGTTATGAGATAACGATTAAACGTACGATTGAAGGTGGACAGTTTGGCGGGCCCAAATCGCTCGCCCGGCCCCACTTCTTTTAATTCGCGTAGATAATGAGGCTATATATATATATATATATATATATATAGCGTGTGGGTGACGAAAAATCCTACGATTGCCTCCAAGAGAATACGAAAAGAATCGTTCTCTGTTCAGAGATCTTTGAGAGAGTCTCAAATATCAAAGGCGATCAGGAAAAAGAAGTCCAAGATCTTTAGCTAGCACTTGGATCGTTGGAGACTTCCGTTCATGTGTGTGGATACCGGTAGAGGCGCAACACTTAGGGCGCTAATCCAGACATAATCGATTGTCAATTTACCTTCGATCTACAAAAAGTACGTGTCGAACTTCTGTTTAGATTTCAATATACGCATGGATCTTGTCTAGGGTTTTGGTTTATAAATTCCGCTGCGTTTTTAGCACTCGAGGAAACCCCAACATTGTGGCCTCTGTGACCATGGTTTCTACAAGTTTAGAGCTTGAGCTCGTTGCCATGGCAGGCACGGTGGACCCTTTCTCTCCTTCTCGATTTTGTTTTCTATTGTGTCGTCTGATGTTGTGTCAATTTGGTGTTAGAAAATAATATTGAGCGACTCATAACATTGACACGTGTATTCCGGCGTTTAGGCCATTCATTCTGCATTCTATGTAAAAAAAAAAATCAACGAGCAAGTGAAAAAGTATAACGGAAGGACTAACATTGGCATTTTCTAAAAAGTCGTGGAGGATGTTTTTAACAAGAAAAAAGAAAAAAAAAATAGAGGGATGATTTTGATTTTGGACAAAATTAGAGGGGCCAACGTGATATTATTCATTAATAAAAATGGGAAAAACAAAATCTTTATTCCACGGCACTTTCTCAAATCCGGTTGCTCGTCTCTTACAAGTTGAAATTTGTGGCCGATGTTGCACCGACGCAAAATCATCATAAACTGTACCTTCATGCTAGCTGGACTCTTTTCTCCGGACAGAAACCTAAATTTTATGGAGCAATCTTTACCTTGGGACTTCGAAAGGCCGCTTTTCAAAAACTACAACCAAAATTCGATTAACGAAAACCGAGTAAGTTTTCTTTTAACCAAAAAACCACTACCAAGAGAGTAAATTACAAAGAAAGTTATAAATCTATTATATTTCTGTCAATGTGATAAGAATAGTAGGAGTGTCATGATTTTCGTACGGCGCTCACTTGAGCGCTATAACATTTTTTTCACTCACTTAAGTACCACAAATTTAAAAAATCGATCACTTAAGTGCTATCGGTGATTTGCTTTGCCTGAAAATCCGATGTGAACGCCGATCATCCTACAATGTATTACCGGTGCCGACATGGACAATTTTTGTAATTTTTTTCACTTACTTAAGTGCCACAAATTTGAAAAATCGATCATTTAAGTGCCATCGACAATTTGTCTCGCTGGAAAATCCGCCGCTGGCCTCGCCCAGATCTGGCAAGGGCCTTTGCACCCTTGCCTGCGGCTGGCGAGCTACGATGGACCTGGGCGAGGACCTTCACAGCTCCGCCGATCGCGAGCGAGGGCGAGGCGACCTTACTAGTAGCCGGCGATGGCCTTTGCGGCCCTGCCGGCCTAGGTGAGGTCTTTGCGGCCGATGCACAGAAAAAAAAAAACATAGAAAAAAAAAAAGAAAATTTTAAATTTAAAAAATACAAAAAATCCACTTAGAACGATTTTTCGGAAGTGACATTCAAATGATCAATTTTACTCCAATGTGGCACTTGAGTGGAAATTTTTTTTTTTTGACACTCAAATAAACGCCGTACAAAAGTTATGACACTCATACTGTTCTTATCATCTGCTAATTCAATCAAAAACCTTTGAATTTGGCTAATTGAGTCGTAAACCTTATGATGAGTCCCTTTAGCTAATTTTGGCCGGAAATCGCTAACGTTGATGCTGATCGTTCTACATAACACAGCCAGTGCTTACTTGAACAATTTTTAAATAATTTTTTTGAATTTTTTCTCTTTTTTTACCTTTCATTTTTTTTTCCTTTTGTTTTTGCTAGTGGCCAGTGGGTCGTTGGCCTCAAGCAATGGTCGCCGAGGGCTGGTCTCGCTGAAGTGAGGGTGATGGCCACCCTCACCAAATCTGGTGAGGCTAACACGAGGCTCGCCGGGCCTTGCCCTCACCCAGACGACGCTCAGCGAGGTCGCCCTAACTTGTGTAAGGGTCTGCCCCCCTCGCCAGATTTGGTGAGGCCGACCCTCGCCAAGCCAGGGCAACCTCGCCTGTGGCGGGTGGGAGCGACCCTCGCTGGCTATCGCCTTTGGCTGGTGGCTAGTCACTAGCCATCGGCAAAAAGAAAAAGAAAAAATTCATAAAACTTATTAAAAAATTATCCTTGTCAATGTCGGTTGGCCATATCACGTAAGACGGCCAACGTCCACGTCAGTGATTTTCGATTAAAATTGACCGGATGGACTACATTAGCAAATCGTCAAAATGTTTAGAATGAAATTAGTAAAATAAAAAGGTTTAGGATTGAATTAACACAGATGTAATAGGTTTAAGACTTTAGTATTTTTCCCCTGTCGAGACGACGACATGTATCGGATCACGAGATGAGACACGAAACTCGGCAATTACGCAAGTCCCTGCAGAGTTCCTTTTCGTAACCTCTGATTTCTGCTATGCAATACATCCCGGCACAAGGAGGATCGAGATTGGCCCCATCTTTCCTCCGGCGAAAAAGTTTCTTATGTCTTCCTTTGCTCTGCCGCTGCCGGAACCGACGAATGAAGTGCATAACGCAACGAAAGAATCACAAGACACAGGTCCGCGAGTCCTTTCGAGAAGTAGGATACAAGTATCCACGAACCGGAACAAGCCCGGCATATAATTCAATTGAAGATTACCGGAGGAGAAAAGAAAAGAAGCTCAATCTCACGAAGACATTTTGCAGTTAAAAGATAGTGGCAGGTAGGCTACTCACACGGTAAAGATGGAAGCAGAATACGACTAGAAACAAGAATAATAGACAACAAAAAAGAACTCAAATTTACTAATGCTATCGCATATAACACACGACAATCCGAAAGACAAGCACTCCAGTCTATAAAACATGCTGCTCAATCTGGATTCATATATGCTGAGAGAGAGAGATCACAGAGGGCAACCTGCTTCGACATAAAGCAGGTGCACGACTTGATCAAGACATACATTCAGAATCTCCGCAGGCGAATTCTCAAACCGACGGGAAGAACTTGTTGAGGTTGAAGGGCAGAGAGTAGAACTCTTCGCTTCTCGTGTCCGTCTTGTATGAACGGAACCGATCCCACCAGTGCATGCCCCTGTCTCTCCTCGTGGGACCATCCTTGCGGTGAAGCGTGATGTCTAGGAAGTAAGCCAACAATCCGGCAACGAATGCGTTGGACGAGAAAGGCACGTTGATCATATCATTGAACTGCCAAGTTCAAGACCCTCATTAGCACCAGAACCCGGGCATCAACTTAGCACCCGTAAGGAAATAAACATATAAACAAGGATTAGCCAGTATACCCATCTTGCTCCTGTATGGACCGGACCATAGCCATTCACTGCCGTGTACTCATTGAAGTACTGAGGTATGGACAAGCCCATAAAGACGGAGAACCCGAGCACGAACTTTGTCTTGAAGCTGTTTAGATTACAGAATTGAAGCAAGCTAAGACCGGCGGAACCTGCTCATGCATCATAGAGAGAGAGAGAGAGAGAGAGTTAACCACACTCCAAAAGCACGACAAGACCAACTTTCTATAGCTCACAGAACATACCAACATAGGCAAAGAAGAGACAGTACAAAGCCGCAATAATTGGCGCTGGAATCGAAGCAAAGACGGCTCCGAATTTCCCTGGACGAATGTAAATTTGTCACCAATATGCAGGAGATGGGACAGTCCCTATTGTATGAATTGGGAATTGTTACATTAGTCTCTTACCAAGAATAGAAAAGAATATCATGAAACCTGCTGATATTTGCACGACCCTCCGGCTGCCGACACGCGTCAGGGCTAACAAGCCGGCGTTCTCACTACACAAATCAATTGGGGTAATGGAAGTCAGAGAAAATGAGGCTGCCTAGAGGTGATGATATACTCTGCAACTGCTAATGATGAAGTGACACGACGAAAAGGAATCTTACACAGTTACAGAAGATCCAATTCCTGTCCCAAAAATCCCAGAGAACAAAATCCCTACTCCCTTCAATCAGGAGAACAGAATTGTAAGCAAATTATACAATCGCAACTATCAATTATAGAATTGAGGCGTGTAAATACTTTGTCGGCCCAAGTCAATGAATATGGTTTGTCTGAAAATGTATATTCAGGGACACCAGCAATAGGGGAGGAGGTTTCGAATTGCTGTCCTACAGAAAAATCTTACTGGAGAAAATATGAAGTTTCCTATGAGATGAAAATGAAAGAACGTAGGAATTGTACCTGCCAACCAACACCTCGGCTAAGAATTGAAGGTGGCATTGGAGTAGCACTTGCATACCTTGACGCAGCAATAAATGTACCAGTTGACTGTTCGACAATAATTAAAAAATCAGTTGAAGCCTGATGAATAAAAACCTAATGATGGGAACTAGCAGAATCAGCCATAGGATGTCTAAATTTCAATGATTAACCTTAACTCTTGTTTGATGAGAGAATGAATCTGAATTTCTCTTTTGACGAGACTTAATTTAGAAATATTTGACCAGCCTTGTGTGGCAATAATCCTATATCCACAAACAACAGAAGCAAAATATAATCCGAAGAACTTGCCTATGATCCAAAAAGAGCAACGATTGCTTAATTTCATCAAATAGGGTCAGGCAAATTGAAGGATCACAAGAAGATTGCTAGACCATAGCTAACCTTACGTAATATGGCTTATTTCTATTAGCAAAGACGGGATAACTAATTCCCAACAATTGACAACAAATTGATTGCTTGATGCATTTCTACATTACATTTGGCGACAAAATAAAGTTGAGATGAGGTACGAACCTCCACTAGAGCAACAAAGGAAGCAGCCATCATTGCAAATGATTCTCCTGCATCGAATGTGGGAGCTCCCCATTGGAAAGGATATGGTACTCGTATCCTGCATGAACATTGCCAAGGAACAAACTAATCAAAAAGCCAATCGACTTTCTAAAAGCGTTGCTTCTGCAGAATCGGTTCCAAGTGGACGATATCTCACAGTGTTATAATCCCGTGCGAGTGACAACTTGCCATAACCTTGATAAAAGATCATCTCTTTAGTTGGAAGGGAGTGGCGGACTTACCACGGTGCAGCACCAATTATTCCAGCACGGTCAGTTCGGCAACTCAGTTGAGTTTTGAGTGCCGTGTGCTTATATGCTCCGCCCACAGTGAGAAGATGAGCATATATCCACACAATTATCACCGAAAAAATAACAGCAAAGCGATCAAATACGTGCCTCTCTCCATGTGTTAGATGAGGTATATACTGCAAACATCACACATACAATTGCAATCATCCAAAAAATCACTAGAGGAGAATTAAGCTCTAACAGAAAGCACTCTAGGAAATAGCACATCAGTGTTGACAATAATAACCTGGGAAAAGATCACTAGAAGGATAATTTGAGGCAGCCCAATCTCCACGCATTTTGCAAGCTAAACAGGTAAACACACAGTTAATGGCATGAGTAAATTGAAGAGCAATTCCGACATTCAACTGAGTGAATCACCAAAATGAATCACCTACCACAGGGAAACCCAACTCATACAGCCCAAATCCAGAAAGAGCGACTAAAGGGACAGCAGATAGCGGACTCAAGAATCTGAAAGCAACACACAAAAACAAACAAGCAACCGTTTTACAGTGAGAATTGCTTGAACAAAAGGAATGGAACAAATAGTATATTGTGGTTGCCTGTTAATTAAGTAATGCTGGCAAGAATTAGCCATTATAGTATTTCTACAAGTAATTGCTGCAAGCAGCCAGTTCATTTACGCTTGAGAAGCACAAACCTGTAACTGATAAGTGCAACATTTTTTGGAAGCTTATTATATATTTGAACACACAACGAACTTCTATGCTTGTAAGTCACATGCAAATGCAACCAGAGTCTTCTGAACCTTTCTCTAGAAAATATGGTCTAAATGGCAATGTGATATGTTCGACTGGAGAACTTTTCTATGTTCAATCCAAAAAAGAAAGTTACTGCTGACCTTGCAACATTTCTCCAGAGGCCACTAAAGCCAATGACAATTTGGAGAGTTGAGGCAACAATGAGGGCACCCTGTATACCTCGCATTATTTTCTCGAATCTCTGTATTTTTCAAAATCTGGTGCTTCAGTCAACACTCGAGTTACTTATAATAGGGGCAAAAAAAGAAGTTGACGGGGCCTCGCGAACAACCTCTAGAGGATCCAATACATCACTGTATCGGCCAGCCAATATAATCGAGATGGTTGTAGGCACGAATGTATATGACGCCCCTATAACAGCAGGCAAACGGGTCCCGAACAGAGTCTGGAATAAAGTGCTCAAACCTGCTACAAACAGGATTGTCTGAATTGTCTTGGCCTTTTCTTCCTGGAGAGAGAATAACATTGTCTTTCAGGTCAGAGTGATCGAATTCCTTAATAAAGAGAAAGATGAAACAGAGGATTTTCATGAATAGTTGCAAGTAAAAGCCTACATTGCCTCCTCCCATTTGAGGAACTAAAGAAGTTGGAATGAGGACTGTTGTGCCAAGCATCACCAAGTAATGTTGGAATCCAAGAAGTATAGCTTCAGCTGCAGTAAAAATGCAAATCATACAATAATTTACAAGAATGCTAAAACCCACGTAGATATTTGCACAAAGTTTGAACATCGTTCAGCTCCGATCAATTACAACCATTCAAGCACTAAACTTAAAATCAAATAAGAATCAATGCAAAACCAGACTTGCTCAAATATGGGGAACAATAAAACAGAAGCAAATTCAGATGAATGCTAAACTCACGCCAAGGAGGAGGGCTAGTGATGCAATAAGAGATGTTGGGAAGCTGATCCCTCACTGGATGGGGCTGCAGCTCCTCCTGTTTCGGCGGTGGCGCCGGTCCTCCTCCTGGTGGCATTCTCAAAGTCTGCTTTTTTCTTCTTCTTCTTACTGTTCTCTAACCCAGAAAAATAGGTTGACGGATCCTCAAACTCTTAGGTGCCCGAATCTCCAAACTAAAAGCTCCAATCCCAAAATCTACCAAAACCCCAAGCAAACAAAAAGAAGCATGGTAAAACCCAGATGACTCAATCCCCAAGAAAAGAAAATTCACCAACCTTCACACACCCAACACACACACAACCTGGTGAGTAGACCTCAAGCAAGAATGTCGCTTTACTCAGTCGAAATGAAACCACCAGCAAAAAACAGAAGTACAAGATTAGGAACGCTCTAGAAAGAGAGGGAACATCACACTCTGCTCCTCTCCTCTTGGCTCTACAAAGTTACACACCCATAAAACAATGGAAATTTAAGACAAAAAAGAAAGAAAGAAAGAAAGAAAGCCCACATGAGTACCAAGAAAACACTAAAGAGAGTGTGAAGATGGCGAGGAAGGCAAAAGCAAAAGGAGGGAAAAGGAGCGTCCCTCTCTCACTCAAAAGCCAAAAGCTAAAGGAAAGAAACCAAAATGAGAGGGAGGGAATCTCTTCATTCACATCTTTCGAGCTTTCTAATGGCGTATTTAATACGAGGGCCGGGCTCGCTCTCTCTCTCTCTCTCTCTCTCTCTCTCTCTCTCTCTCTCTCTCTCTCTCATCACAGAGAGAGATATAGAGAGAGAGAGATAAAGTTGGGCACAAAAGCATCTCCACTGTGTCTAGTTTCTCTTGGCTTTGATGCATCACCAGCTTCTCCAGCCAGCATCGCAGAAACAACGTCAGAATACTTTAATTTTACCGAACTCATATGGCTTCCATTTTAAATACTTAGCCTCACAGGAAATGCCTTTTGCATGCTCTCTCTCTCTCTCTCTTACATCCTCGTCACTTACTGCAACTGACTTTAAGCAAGTCGGTGGTTAAACCCTTTTTTTTTTCCTGGAGTTGGAAAAAGATGTTTCTTCCTTCGATATTCTCGCAGAGTCCGGCAAAGAAAAAATAAAGAGAAAACTGATTGCCACTTTTGTTTTTTTTTTTTTTTTTTTTTTGCCAGAGCCAAACTTCAATGTCAAAAAACCGTTTTTTGACATTGAAGTTTTGACGAACAAGTCCAGCCCGTCTAAGAGTGTCAAATCCAGGGATTGAGCGACACTTGGTGATGAACTACGCCTACGAGCAGACACGTTCCTAGGCAAGAGTGAGAGAGAGAGAGAGGGAGAGAAAAGTGACCGTTTTTCTGCTTGTTCAAAGGGAGTGAAGAAATGGAGAGAAAGCATGCTGAGACTGATCAAAGATCGAGCCTGTCAGGAATCGCCAGAGAACTCCACTGGAGTCAAAGTGCCTGCTCTGCTCTCACCTGTCATAAAATGCCACTTTGAGCATGCTATACATCCCCCTGCTCAAACACACCTCATTCGTAACTCGTACGAGACAGAGCTTATTTGGGTATCCATCCTCACCCATTCACCATGAATGGAGGAGGGATTCTATCGAAAGATCTCGTAATCACACCATTGTTATCGTTATCGATTACGTTATGATTGCTCGGGTTTTGATGCTCTTAGGAGTTACGATTTTATAGGACCATAGTCTAAAATTAGAGGGGCATTCCGGATTTCTCGAGGAGACCAATTTTAGACTCTCCTCAAAGAGATAGCATAGATAGATGAAGAACAATGTAAACCATACAAACCTTTTCTTAGGAGATGATACCAAGTGTATGATCGACGTCCCTGAAAAAGTTTGTCCTAGCTTCTTCTCATTGGCCACTTGGACTCCGCTTGGAGTCCTAGACAAGCAATCCTAGACATAGAATAGTACTAGCTATTTAGCAAGTGAAGTACTATGAAATGATAGAAATATGATCCTTTTTTTTTTTTTTGGCTTTTGTCTTTTGAGCAAGTTACTGCATGATGAGCCTGGATAAGGGGAATTTTATGACAGAGATATGAGAGAGGCCAGTGGGCAAAGTTGTGTGCAAGAGGATAATCTTGGCTAGAAAAAGGGTGGATTTATCCGTTTCTAGGGAATTTTATGACTAAGTACGCTTTGTATATCTAACTATATTGATATATTAAGCGATTTGACTTATTATAGTCTTGTACTGAATATGATTCACTAATCTAAATGTTCGCTTGTGATTCACTATGTTATTTAGTATACAAACTTTGTAAGCTAGTCTCGTTTACTTTAATTTTTGCACTTACAATTAGCGTTTGATATGCGACTTTCATTTAGTACCGATTGATGGTTCATAAATATGAGCATCGTCCATATTTTTGTTTAATCAAATCTATACGTAGAATGATGTCCTTATTTGTAATTCGTGATTGAAGATTAGGTTGAAAAAATAAGGGAAAAGACCACAAAAAACTCCTAACTATGCTACTTGTGACAAATTTACTCTTAACTTTTTTTTTGTGATACGAAAAATCCCAAATTATGTCATTTGTAACACATTTACCCCATAATACTTTCTCCTAGGGCATTTTCGTCTTTTTCTTTCTTTTTTTTTTTCCTTTCTTCTCTCTCTTCCCTCCGCCGGCCATGGCGGAGGAAAGCCGGCGAGGGCCACCCTCGCCGGCGTTGGGGTTGGGCGAGGGCTGCCCTCGTCGGATTTGGCGAGGGTGACCCTCGTCGGATTTGGCGAGGGTGACCCTCGCCGAAGTCGAGTGAGGGTCGCCCTCGCCTGAGTCGAGCGAGGGCGGCCCTTGCCCAACCCAGGCAAGGGCGACCCTCGCCCTACGCTGGTGAGGGTCACCTGAGTCGGGCGAGGGCTGCCCTCGCCGGCTTCCCTCCGCCATGGCTGGCGGAGGGAAGAGAGAGAAGAAAGGGAAAAAAAGGAAAAGAAAAAAGACGAAAATGCCCTAAGAGAAAGTATTATGGGGTAAATATGTTACAAATAGCATAGTTTGGGGTTTTTCGTGTCAAAAAAAATTCAAGATAAATTTATCACAGATGGCATAGTTTAGGATTTTTGGTGGTTTTTTTCCAAAAAATAAATAAATAAATGCTTCTCAACGGGAATAGACAAAAGGATAAGTCCTGCTTTTCTTTCATATTTCAAGGAGAACAACTTGTGACTGGCACAAATATCTCCTTTTCCCTTTTTCAAGTCCTTATAAAAAGTCGGGTTGAACAAAATAGTTACGGGATGCATTCACAAACCATGAATCTTCTGTTACAACCTTCAATTACCTTAATTTTTGCTAAGTTTTGGAACCTATGCAACAAAATGTACATCGAAAATCAAGTTTCTACTTCACCAAAAGTCTGTGCCTGTAGAAATCTCGAACGGTCCATCTTTAATTTGGAATTCTAAGGAAAAAGTACTATTGTGCATGTGTTATGGGTCGATCGATCTAGCGTTCCCACACTCGTGCGGCCTTAGGAATTTCTCCCCAAGTAAGCCTTCCCACACTCGCACTCGCAAGAACTTTAGAGAGAGAAACTCTAGAGAAAGAAGCTCTGAACTTTGTATTGCTTCTTGAAAATGAGGAAGAGGAGACCCCATTATATACAAGTATCGGGCTGACCGTATCCGTAGATCTCTCCCCGATCTTAACGGTTGAGATCGTACTCCCCCAATTACCCCACCTACCGCATTTATTACGGAATGGTACAATTACCGTATCGCCCGCCCCCAGGAGTATTCTAGAAGACATCAAGAAAACCCTAGTACTAGAACACTCGGGGCCCGCCTTCTCATCCAAGGGTCGGTCACGGTCCATCGTCCAGAAAACCTCAGGAACGATCCAATTCTTTGGGCCGCGACACATGCATGAAAGTTATTCTAACCTCCAAAGGAAGAATGAAAAGGCCACTCAGGCTGCTTTTTTCTTGATGGGATAGCAAGCTTGTTTTCCAAGGACGAACTTCTTGCAACCTTGTACAAAAGGGTTGCCTCATTTTATCCTAATGATGTCGACATCCCAATTTTGTCTCGAGGACGACAGTTCCGATCTCTACTTCGACTTGGAAAAATTATCCACTCGAACCTAAATTTAGTGTGCAAATACAAATTTAGTCTTAAACATTTCAATTTTGCTAATTTTGTCCTAAACTTTTTTGCGAAATTCTAATATAGCCTTTAGGGGTCAATTTTTGCCGAAAATATATAACAATCCAGTTATCACTAATTGTCCTACGTGGAACATTGCAACGTCAAGCCTTTTGTTTCAATGCCAATTATGACCTTATGACCATATAATTTAAAGTTGAAGTACACTCGATATCTCTGCAAACAAGGACATAATAGTAAGAATCCTATAAATAAAAGAGAGAGGATGTGATAGTGAGTACAGCTTTTTACTGAACAAGGAAATGATAAGGTAATTATCTATCGCTCCAAAGCAGATTTTCAGATACAACCTTATAAACCTAAATTAATTCTCCACGTAAAATGTCTTCTCGCCTATTTGATTTAGGTAAATAGGAGAATCGTGAGTACGAGGAACCATTGTCCCTAGAGTGCTCAAAAGAGTTTGTAATATTCGAATTTCGTTATAACTGCATATAAACGCCAGTTTTGGGATACTGGACAGTCAATAGATTAAGAGTAATGCACTGTTTTCTTGCAATTCACGTATGAGTGTCGACATGTCTCTTCAATAAAATTGGAACATACGAGGGTCGACGTAGACCGCCAATCCCCCCGCGGAGTTCGATACCTCTTAAAACAGGCGCAGCACATTTTTTCGCACCCACGAGAAAAAGAGATTCCAGGAAACCATCGCTCATATTGGCGGGAAATTCTTGTCACAACCTGAGTTTATGGACCGAGTGCGACCACGGCCAACGATCTTGCAAGAACCAGAGACAGGGCCCGCGCGGAATCCTCAATTGTTCCATCTCATTGGACTTCGAGTCCTGGCAAGAAACTTCCCCACATGGAGAGATCAGAACCATTACAGATTCCAATAATCTATTCAGAGTAGGCCTTTCAATGGGCCTCTCAGAACGCAAAGAACCTGTGAGCAAAAGATCGACCGGTGGCTCTTGACCGTAAGAGCTATATCAAGATTGCTCAACAATAGAGGGCACCGACGGTTCTCCAGGGTCCTAAAAACAGAGGTATATAATGATTTTACCTCCAGCTAGAAATGCGAGGATAACTTTTCCGTGCTCCTAAAAGCACAAACAGCAACTATTCACTGCATATTCCATAGTATTTGCCCATCATACATCATAGTTTCTTGTTTTTCCACCATATTTCTTCTGCCATTTGAATTGATAAGAATCCATAATAGTTTGCCTCCTGAGCAATTAAAGGAGGCATGTCACCTTGCCTTAACAATAAAACCAGTCATTCACCCGAAACCAAAAAAAAAAAAAGATGGGACCTACTGCAAATTCCCGAACATAACAGCATCATAGAAGCAATTGGAGATTCCACTTGGTCTCATGGTCTACTAGAACGCATTAGGCACGAAGATTAGGGTGCAGTATACTGCAGAATAACAGAGTAAATCTTCTACAAACAACACACAACCCGTTTTTTACCAGATACGCAGGTAAAATATAAAGCTACGATGTTGTATCCGCACCACGGTTGATCTCATTCTCCACAAAAAAGAAGGCAACAGAACAACCGAGGCTCACCTGTGTAAGTTTCCATCGTGTCGTCAATTTCTTCAGCACATCTTCACCACCATGAGTCACACAACATGGTAGCAGATACCGTTACACAAACTCTCCAAGTCAAAATACAAGAGGCATACATCAGACAGATGTCTTATCATCAGCAAAGCTCAAAGGAACTGTCTCGAGTCTTCTTCATCTGCACACCCATCTCACAATGAACCAGAGATTATTTGCTGCAGATCAACTAAACCCGACATTAATAGGTGATAGAAGACACTGCTCCTTTTTGCAGCCCTCACATTTTCCTTGCCAGTGGATGGCAAATCCACCTAGAGTTGGTAGAAACCCACAAATTCGAGTGTGCAGAGATGCTCACTGTGTTGGACGCGCTTGCAATCTCTTCCTCTCGAATTCCAACTAAGAATGTTCATGGACAATCCGTTAATCGCTTTATTAGTCGAGTAATAAAAGTGGATGACTAAAGTAGTTGCATTCTTTTCCTCACCACTTTCTTAACCCGTTCATTGGCAGCAGCGGCACCTCCACTAACAGATTCAGGAACATATGGACTGCTGACACGCACTTCATCCATCACAACTATGATACTCTTATCCCAGCGAACTGGAAGCCTGTATGTGAGGAAGTTAAAGTTAAAAATTTGTTCTCCTGTAAAGCATATTGGCAAGTTCCATTTCCGCATAGCCTACACTTTGAGAAGTCTCAACGAACTCGAGGCTTCCTAATCAACATTCTTATGGGGAAAATAGACAGAGGATTGACAGAGTATACTTACTTTTGTTTGGATAAGAAAAGCGAGACCAAGAAAAGACCATCAACCGATACTAAATCTATAGGATTCACAAAATATGATGGCATTTTTCTCTCCACATGCATTTATTTCTCTTAGCATAATAAAAGAAATAGGGGAAATGCATTAAAACTTGTTCTTGCTTTTGCAACCTTTTCCTATCTCTAACTCAAGCATAGGCTACTGAGCCATGAAGTCCATATCAATGGATAAGAGGTCTGCCTCTTCATGAGTGAAACGTTGACCTTTACCAGCGTAGTCAAAGGCAAAAAGCGCATTAAAGCACTAGGACCCCGAAACACCTAAGGAGAGAGGCCAAAAAAAGAGCACGCCCGAGCAAAGCAAGGCAAAATTAAGAAAATCTTTTTAGCATTAATCATCTTAAACGAGAATGAAATTAACATATTTAAATTTAAACTAGGTCAAAAGTGTAAATAAATACTGTGCAAGAAAAGTGTGCACTTAGCCATAAGGATGGAGTGAAAGTAAGCCAGACATAATGTCACACAACTTAGAAGAACACGGAGTGAAGCACCAATTTCTTCTAGATTTCAGAATTATGATTCTAGAAATTTACTTTTTTCTGGGTCCTATCTTCCATCGATCTTTCTGAAATAGGAGGATAAAAAAATCATTCAAAAGAAAGACTCCTTAGGGTTTCCATAACCCATAGTTTGGATCAGGCAAGTGCCTTGTGCCCCGTGCGCCCGATGGCTTAAGTAAGAAAGGTGCCTTGTTGAACACGCCTCCCCTAGACATCACAGAGGCGAAAAGCTAAGCTTGCTTTGGCGCCTGGGTGTGCGCTTTTGACTACACTGACCTTTACAATTCTTCATGTTATGAGCAATAGAAATTAAGCAAGCAACACGTACTAGTCAATTTTATCAGAAAGACCAAGTGAAAGCGGGTTTAACTTTAATTATATCCAAGAACTTCAATAGAATCTTACTCCAAATGCTTATGAAGAACCCTCTTATGGGCTCAACATCCACAACCATCAGATAAAGGTGTGAGTTAGCTAAACACACATAAACCAAACTTAATTATTCAACAAACAACAGCAATGTGCCAGGCGCAACAGCTTTCTCTCCAGAATCTTTATTCTCTATCTTTTCTCCCCCTTGTCTGTGATTTGATAGTTAATCGAGCTTATTTTTAGACCATTGGTCACCACATATTAAAGTCCCAGGTACCATTACCAAACACCATTGACTTAGTTCCTTGCCTCAAGATTCAAAGAAGAGCCAGAACTGAATTAGTCCAAAATCCTCACTCTGACACGATACAATTCTGTGCACCAAATCCTCGATCTGACAGGAAACAGTAGCCAGTCTGGAGAATTTACCAACGATGTTTCCATGATACAGCCGAAACCAACCAATCTTAGAAGCACCATTTAATATGATAAACCCAAAGCATCGTCTCGACATATTAATGAGTAGAGCAGACTTCTTCGTCAGAGTAACTTTTTGTGTCACCTCATACGCATTTTCAAGATTTTTTTTTACTTCCACGAATAACAATTTCACGTCTTACCATAAGAATTTCCCACCTAAAATCACAAACCATAGGCAAACAAATGGAAAGTGAGCTCTTGATTTTAAGAAGCAAACCCCGAATCATCTCCACCACCTCGAGCACATCCTATTCCTAGCCATACCCAAAGAGTTAACACATCTTGATTTGAATACCGCAGAATGTACACGCATGGCAAACATGTCACTATCTAAAACTGGAGAGTATATTCTATTAGATCCTATGATATAACCCAAGCAAGAATTGTCAGCAATATGCAAGTAGTACTAGAGGGGATAAAGCGTGAGACACTTTACGTTTTAGACAATGCATCGAAGATGCTTTGAGCCTCGCTGGTCACACCCACTCCTATCCTCTCAGCCTCCGCTTCGGCTAGCCTGCAGAAACAAAACCCCCAACCAAAACCATGGAAAACTCGAAACCTCATTTGGAAAACAGCAGCAGAAATGACGAAGATAACCGACACCAAACCTCAATGCCGATTGTTCTCGAGCTCGCAAGGTGCCGAGATCAATGTAACACTTGCTGGGATCGAGCGGGTCTTGACCGTGACGCAGGAAGGTGAAATGCTTGATGTAATCCGCCTTGAGCAGCCGCAAGTTCCGCCGAGACCCGGACTTCGAACCCTCTTGTGGCAATCCGAAAACCGCGAACACAGTCAAGGAATTCAACCCAGAAAGCGGCAACGGAAGCATAAACGAAAGAAAAGGCGAGAAAAACCCCCCCTCGGGGTAAATCACAAAACTCGAAGCGCGAAGTCACGATTGGGAACGCCGGAGGACGAGCAGAACGGTCGAAACGAGAAGGATATGGAGGACGAGGATGTTGGAGGTGGCGTCGAAGGCGACGACCTGGGCTTCGAACTCGTCGCCGAAGGTGGTCCGGATGGAGAGGAAGCATCCGATGGCGAAGTCGTCGGAGCTGGCGGCGGCGGCGGCGGCGGCGGCGGCAGCGGCGGCGTCCGTGGCCATGTCGACGACCTGCGCTCGCTCCTCCTGTCCTTTCCTCCTTCCCGGCGGGGCTCGCGGTGGGGCTGCGAAGGAGAGAAGTGAAATGTGTGGGTTTGGGTCCGAATCCGAGGGATGTTGGGCCTATCTATCTATCTGAAGTTTCGTTGACTTTGAGACCGGACTGGTTTTTTTTGGTCTCCAAGGTATTGCCTTCGGACCATTACAAGCAAGCATCATCATCATTCATCGTATGTTGTCTTCTCAAGTCTAACAAATCCGGCCTATATTTGTCATGAGTCCTCTCGCAATCGATTCCACCTTTTTTTCCCGACCGAACTGCCGCTGGCTACTGTTATGGACTCCGACCCTCCCTCTAGGCAACCATCGGATTTTTGAATCGATGATCGATCGCAGCTGTGATAACCTTTCTCCTTGGTCCCCGAGTTCGATCTGAGCAGCATTTGCCGTAGATTCGAGGGTCATCGACCTTACGGGTCGTCATTAGTCGAGATTGTAGCGGTGCGGTGCCGTGTGTGTCTAAATTTGAGGAAAGTGCCTTTGATGGAGTAGCACCCATTAGATTAACAATAGGAGTGAGAACTTCGACTGTATCGGTGAGCGATAACCAAAAGTTCATATGCCAAAAGCCGTTGTAGTTTTATCTATTGAAAGTTGATGTATGGTCATGCGTCAAAGCTTGTACTTTTTTAAATATTTCATATTGCTGTTGTAATCGAACGAACGAAAGTAAGTTTTTATCATGAGTTGAATGACAAGACTGATCCATGTCAAAAGAAGAGAATTTAGGACAAGCTATTTTCTTTATCCAAACTTAAAGAGATTGCATTAAGAAAAATACCTATAGATAAATGACAGGATCTCACAATTAGGAATTAGAATTTGAATCTTCATTTTAATGTTGCTATTACTAGCAACATTTTGGGGTTGAAGATTGTGCACATCTTCATTTTATTGTCACGATTTGTAAGTGACACCATTGAGGATTGCTCAGGGCGAAGGAATCAATGACTGCTTATATCATATATGTGCGCATCTGGTTCAGGGGTACTCTTTCTACAAAGTATTTATTTTTTCCTTATTTTTGGCATGGTACCATCTTAAGAATCCATTTTCCTTGCCCGAGTCCTTAAAATTTTGTTAAGGATTCGACTACTCGACATATCTACCCAATTGTCCCACGTCTTTCGTACATCACATGTACCGTTATTGTTAATTTACTACAGACGTGGACTTTTGTTCCAATTAGATCGCTCAACGGCAAACCGTGCACGCACTTCTTTGATGTGAAGCATTGCACAAATGAGTCGACCGATGTATTACTTACGAAAATAGTGATATGCACGGCATCGTTCCTTGAGTAAGGATCACCGGTCCGAATCGCTACAATGGTGTGCACTAAAGCACTTAACACATCATGTTTGGTCTCTTGAGCGAAGACTTTATTCGATACTTTTATGTGGATCTAACATGTTTACGAGATAACGCTGCGTCTTAATTTTGTCTGAAACATAGCCCTTCGAAACAAAGAGCAAAAAAATAAAACATTAGACACCAAAAACCTTCTTAGAGTTTGAGCGTTGTCAACATCAAAAGTTGGCGGAGTTGCTGCTACTGCAAAGCTGGTTTTTCCTATCTTTCACCATAGAAGCCAGCAGCCCCTCCCCGGTAAGGAAATTTATCAAACGATCGGATGGAAACAGCGACCCAAAAATCCACCAAAGATTTGATTTTTAAGCGCGGTGTCGTCTCTGACGTATGACTCCTACATCTCCCTCGTAAGCTAATCCTCGAATCCGAGCTCTTTGCTCTCTCCTATGGCTGCAACACTTTCCTTCTCTCTCTCCTTGGACCCCCAACACCACCACCACCACCACCACCTCCACCGCCGCCGCCACAAAGCTCGCCACTTTCTCCATTTCCCATCATCGCCGCCTCCCGGTCTCCGACACCCACCTCTCGGTCTCCACAAATTCGACCGCTCCGCCTGCAGGACCGTGTCCTCGTCCTCCCAGCCCTCCCCTCCGACGACCGCGTCGACCGGGACAGCACCCTCCACCCCGTTCCTCGACGACCCGTACCGGGCCGGGCGGTTCTTGACCGATGAAGAGTTCGGCAAGCTCCGGTCCCTCGAGGGCTTCGCGTACGACCGGGAGCTGGGATCCGGGTCGCTGCGGGTCCGGGTCATGAGGGCCGAGGAGATGGACGAGACCGTGCGGGTGCTGGCCGAGTCGTTCGCGGAGTCGATGCTGCTGCCCGGCGGGTACGTGTCGCTGGTGAGGTTCTTGGTGAAGCAGTACTTGATCGAGCGGCGGAGCGCGATGCCGCACGTCGCGACGCTCGTCGGGTTTTACAGGGGCGGGGAAGACGGCGAGGAAGAGTTGGCCGGAACCGTGGAGGTGTGCTTCAACAAGAGAGGCTCGAACGCTTCTCCGCCGACGCCGACGCCCCCGCGAAACTCTCCTTATATCTGCAACATGACCGTCAAAGAGCAGCTCAGGAGGTAATACTGGAGCCCCACTAATTGCCTTGCAATGCCGCTGAACAGAAAAAACAGGGGATTTATTTATCGCGTTTCTTGGCTGTTGGTGCTAGACATGGACGCTTACTCGTGCGTTCGTTGTTTTTCGTAAAAATTGGGTCTAGGATCATGTGGTGGTGAGCACTGAACATTGAGTTTTTGGAAATCAAGAAGCCAAATTACATGTTTCTACCAGCTCTGTTGCGGCATGGTTGAATGTCTTCTGGTTCGTTTGTTGTTGCTTAAACTGAGAATGAGATGGTTCACTGGCACTGGCCCTTTTGTTTGGAATGCAATTAACCCGATTGATGTTGATCAGGGGCTCTCCCTCTTGATTTGAAGCATACTTTGGACTAAGGTTTAGATTGTATTCTTGTAACCTGGTTCTTATCCCGTTTGATGGTTTGTAAGTGGATAATCTAGTGCAAAAGTCTGTCAGTAGCTTTGATTTTACTGATAAAATAATTTCAACTTCCTACATAGCGGAAAAGTCATGTAAATTGCGATAGCAAAGTGTCAACTTCCTAAATAGCTCAAACTTTACTAGTGTATCAACCGTACCTCGTGGTGGATAGATTGAGTGGAAGTTGACAATTGGAGATCCTTTTAACTTTCAGGAGAGGTATTGGCTGGCATCTATTGAAGGCTAGTGAGGAACTTATTTCCCAGATGTGTTCCTCAGGAGAGGTGTACTTGCACTGCAGAATGATTGATCTTGCTCCATTCAACATGTATACTAAAGCAGGTTACAGAATCGTTAAGACAGACAACATTCTGGTCCTGTTGACACTTCAAAGACGCAAGCACTTGATGTGCAAGAAACTTCTAGTACCATATAGTCCTTCAGAATCAGATGAGTCAGGCTCTGACCAAGAACAGACCTCTTGAATGCATGTGGAGGTAATGTCACACCATACAATTTTCCTAGTTGCCAAGGAAAATCACAGTTCCTTATTATTCCCCTTCTGTAAATTTTGAATCAATCATCTTTGTACAGTGTCCGACTTAAATGATAATCATGGTTTTCCTTCTTCGAAATACTCTCTTCCAAGTTTCTATAGATGTCCTGTTTCATTTTCCCACTCCCTTTTATGTTCAGATTGTTCATATTGGTGTCAGTTGTTTAAGTATTCACTTAGGCTGACCCTTTGACTCGAACAAGAATCTAATTTATTTCTTAATTCTTTTTTAGTGCAATTTCATAATAACTTCAAGTTTCTAGAGATCTCCTGTTTTATCTCTGCCTCTATCAACTTTGACTGGGGATGAAATGTGCCATGATTTTACGAAGAAGAAAGCTTCATTACTTGCTTTCTTTTGATCTTGCTGCTTTAACATGATTTCTGCCTTCATTTTGAGTTATCATGATATATCTTCTTGAAATTGGATTCACCATGCATATTCTTTAAGATATGGTATGAGTTGTAGACAATCGTGATAAAGATGAGGTTGCATAAAGCAATTCAATCTGGCAGTATCCAATGGGGACAAATCTCTGCACATTTGAAAGAAAACTTTGTGAAGAAAAGGATGGTTATACACATACCAAATAAACTAGCGGTTGTACAAATAATTCAACTTGAAGCTGGCAGTAGGGTGAAAGAAATAAATACATGAATTTTTTTTCCTAGCCTAGACTCAATAATTCAAATGCTTCCTAGATTCATTACAATGTAGCCCAAAATCTTTCTTAAACTTTCTTTTAATTATGTCGTGCATTGCACACAGTTTGTGCTCTTTTGCTTCACAGAGGATAACTAGATGCTCCTTCAAGAATCTTAGGTACATGGAGGCCCCAAAATGTGTTCTGGTAGTAAAAGAGGTCATGTTCCTTCATAGACATTATCATATCATTTCTCTTCTTGTGAGACATCTCATATCTTAGATCAGTTCGCGTTTGTTCACAGCCATGCCCAAACCTTTCGAGTTAATGAAGGATATTAGGTGAAGTTCCCTTACACATTCTCCCATGGAGGGTCTCTCGCTACTCTCAGGTCGGACACAGCGTGATGCTAGGTTAGCATACATGGCTATGGACTCCAGTGTGTACGAATTTTGAGTGAGGTCTGGGTCCATAATCTTGCGCAATTTTTTCCGGCCGTTCAGTAAATTCTTTACCTGCAACTCAAAGTAGATTTTCTTTTATGTCTAATATATTTTGTAGATTGCCTGGGAAATATTGAGTTCCGAGTTGAAATTAATCTACCTGAAGTACTAGATTCTGATCATTTGGACCCTGATTTAAGTCCAATGCTCTTCGTCCGGTCAAGAGTTCGAGGAGCACCACACCAAATGCGTACACATCACTTTGCAGAGTGAGTTTTCCTGTCTATTGCCAAAAGCCAGTTTAATTGAACTGGAACAAAAAGAAGGTGAATTATGCTGAATCCACCTGTGTGATTTGGTCCAAATTCAATTTCCTAAAGTGTGGTTTAAGAAATTTCCCTGTTGTGGATTTGGTAGACATTCATGCTAACTGTCAGTTTTGGCAAATCATATGCCTGGTTTTGCAATCTTAGAACCATAAAAAATTCAATAAAGCACAGTAACGACTGGGTAACTAAGTTTGATTTTTATATGAGAGTGGATTTGTTGGTTTTTGAAATTTCTTACTTTCTAAAAATGGAGCAAATTAAATCCCTAAAACTTCTGTCACAAACCCCTCATGAAAACCCTGGAAAGTAATTGAAAATGGGCAACTTAGAATAACACATAAGCATATACTTTTAGAGATAGGAAAAGAGCACCCTTTGGATGGGACAAAAAGCAAGCTACACAATCAAATCAAGTTTTATAATTTCAAAGCACAGACCCTGAACAGTCGATCTCTTCCTGGATGATTGGTAGCTTCTCTTCATTTTAACAGAAACTTTAAGGGAGTCTAAATGGTCTAAAACTGAGTTGGGCACAATGCAACTTTTGAAACCACAGGGTGATGAAGTCTGCAGGTAGTTTCTTTTCTTTTCTTTGTGTAGCTTTAAACCACAAGGTGTGAAGTCTAGAAAACCATCAATTTCATATCTCCCTCTTTGGTAATATCTCTCAAAACAAAACCATGCTAGAGATTTTTTCGTTTTTTCCCTTGCAAAGAGAAGTATGTCTACGGCCGTTCTGGAAGTTTGAGTATCTTATTTGCCTAGTGTGATTAGATGTCTAGGTCTGGTTGTGGCCAATTCACTTGTTTCTTTGCCTAGTGTGCTAATATGTCTTGGTCAGGTTATGGCCAATTCAGTAGTTTCATATCAATGTGCTGGCTACACCTGGCATGAGTCTGGCTGTAACCTTATTTTTATTTATTTATTTTTTGATTTTTTTTTTTGGGGGAGTGGGGCTGGTTATTGAATTCATTTTGTGGGAAATTTGGGAAGGAGGATAGCATTCTAACATATTGTAATCCTTGAACAGACTCCCTGAGCTTATTGCCATATATCATGATGCAGATAATATATCCAAAAGTGAACATGCAGATTGTAGCAAGCTACTCAGATGATATGCTTTGAATTTCTGATTCATGTGCGTCTTATTAGCAAATAGGGAATGTTCTGTGTATGTAGTAGTATATCATGCATTAGTGCGTGGAGAACCCTCAAGACATTTTTCGCCAAGGTAAAGCAATAGATCAAATAAATGTATGTCTGCTATAGTGTACTTAAGGTCGAGTCTCTGTGTGTGCATATGATCTTATAAAAGCAGGGGAAAAAACAAGCGTATGTGCACAAGACGTTCTAAAGTAACTTTTCTGCCATAGAGCTGGAGCGAAGTTCGATCTTTTAATTGAAACCTCCAATTCTCTAGGAAGAACTTTGAACTTTTTGAACTGATTAGGCTCAGAGACTAAATATATCAAGTAACTATGGGTGACAATGATAGCTTACCGATGTATACTCAGGATCGAAATAGCCGAAAGTACCAAGCATTCTAGCAGTCTCACATATTTCCTGGCCCTTGGGCATCAGCTTGGCGAGTCCAAAATCGGATATCTATATCAAATGGCCTCTGAATAAGTTCTTTTGTGCCCTTAAAGCTGCCCATACTAAGGGTCAAATTATCTGGCTTACCTTTGCCTCAAAATCTGCCGTTAGAAGTATGTTGGTAGATTTGAAATCTCTGTGGATAATCGGGATTCCCACAGCTGAACCTGAATGGAGATAGGCTAGCCCCTTTGCTGCTCCTATTGCTACTTGGAGCCTTGAAGGCCAATCCATCTTTGAATCCCCAATTCCTAGCACAAGCGTAAAGCGAATACTTATCAAAAGTCATTTTACCGGGAATATATATTATCCTGAGCAGTCGAAAAACTAACCATTCAAGTGATCTTGCAGGTTCCCATTTGGCAGATATTCATACACCAAGAACCTCTGCTTTCTGTCGGCACAATAGCCGATTAACGACACCAGGTTGGGGTGATCGAGGCGGCTCAAGATATCGACTTCAACCCGGAACTCCCGTTCTCCATCAGCTTCTTTAGATGGTGGCAGCTCCATTTTCTTGATGGCAACCACCTTCAGGTCCACATCAAATAGAAGATAATAATAATGTGTTTCAACAAGAATTCAGGGGATTAAATACGTCCCGAAAGAGATCTCTTTAACTAGAAAAGGGTATGAGAGCAAGAGTCTGTGCAGGGAAGCATTCATTTGTTATTTGTTTACAAATAATCGTAATCCATTGCTTTCTTTAACCTGAATAGCTTAATTCACATAACACGAGATGAGAATTGTCATCTTTTGTACTTGCCTCGACTAGAAACCTAAAATTACGCTCTTTGCCTTGTACCTGTCCTGACCTGAGAATCCCCTTGTAAACTCTTCCAAACCCTCCTTTCCCTACCAAGTTGGCATCGTCAAAAGATGACGTCGCCTCTTCCATTTCTTTCAGCGTGAACACGGACGAGCCATTGCGCCGCTTTGAGGTTTGTAGTGATTGATCTTCGAGTTGCCAGAGCTTCACCGGCTTATAAGTCCCTGCATCCATAACAGTTAGCAGCAAGCTTGACTGTACCATGAGATTTCGTAATCCTCAAAAATCACCAAGAAGCCATACATCTTATTATCAAATTGATTTTACTAAGTATTGTAAAAGAAGAGACGCGTGAAGAAGAATTACAGGGGTCCGCCTGCTCCAGGGATTTGCTTCTCCGTCGCTTGTTCCATGTCGAGACCAAACCGAACGGCATGATGGCTTCCCTCGTGAGATGATCTAATTCTGGGGTTTGCAATTCATGTTACATGAAACAGAATGCTGTTTGGGAACAGAGAGAGAGAGAGAGAGAGAGAGAGAGAGAGAGAGAGAGAGAGAGAGAGAGAGAGAGAGAGAGAGAGAGAGAGAGAGAGCTTCGTTATAACAGAGGAATTAGGGAAACTGAGGAAAGAGCGATTGGGTTTGATGTCACAGAGCATCTGATGAAGAGAGAACTGAAGCATCAGTGCAGGGGGTTGTCTCTGTAAAAAGCTCCAATGTCCCCCGCTTTTTGATGGGTAAGCGGAATACGAATATGGGTTGAGTGAGAATCATCGCCTGAGAGGGATACGTATGAAGCAAGTGAAGGTCTACATCATTTTAGGAGGAGAATGCATTCACCATACCAGTTGACAGTAGCCTCCAACAACCTTAAAATTCAGAGCATGTGCTTGAAGTGAAAGATAAGGTCGATGTTGGGGAAAGAAAAGAAGGGGAGTTGGTATTGCGTGGTCGCCTTGCATGAGTATTTTAAGTTCGGGTCTTTTGTTTTAAAAGCAAGCAAAGAGATGAGATCTCTCTCTCCTTTTCGATTCGATTTTTCCTTAATTGTTTTCTTTTAGAAGGGATCAAAATGTGGCCGTTGAGAGGGCCCTTTCATCCGTTTGAATTGTAGAGCTAATCATTACATTAAGTTAAGAGTACCGTAGAGATATCCGTGTGCTCTGTATAGTTTATCATTTAGAGATTAATCAAAACGAATTACGAAAAGTCTATACATTAGCACAACGTTATAGCACAAAAACTAAATTCAAAATCATATATTGACCCATTATATTTCGTATTCTCTAGATTAATAGTTTAATGTGAGTGATCAGCGCGATGATAAGTGAATCAAGGGCTGCTTCACTTTTTGGCTAAGGAAAGGATGAGGGTTCCACAAGGGTCATTTAGATTAACATTTATAAAATCCAGATCATTATTCTACAAACGCATGAAGTGGGAGGAGAAAGTTAACATTCTCAGTGACATTGAAGAAGTACAGCTACTGGGTGTCAGCTGCAACGCAAAAAGGGTTCACCAACAAAGGGGTCAACGAGCTAATCTCGGTGATGTTGGCTCAACAATTGCTGTGGATCTGGACAAGTCAGGAGCAACTAATTTAGACGATGACATTCTGCGCACGAAAACGAAGAAGCATTAACATAAAAATAAAAATTAAGAAAACAGTGTTGGTGGTCCGTCATGCTGACATCTGTGTTGGAGATTCTTGATCAGAGGTGGCATTGAAGCATGGTTGGAGATCAGAGGGATAGAGAAAAGAACGTGAAAAATGTAATCAAGCTGATGAAACGCGCCTTTTAGGCAGGAGACGAACTTTCACGTTGCCTTTGGTGTGCATGAATTGTGAAACATGTATATCCTTTTGCCCCACGAAACAGAGAGTTGCTGGACTTCCTTTTTTGACACGATAGGCTCTGTACAGCCTCAGCTGTCGTCATTTCTTAACGTAAAGCTTTACCCTCACATTATTCTCTGGATTTTATTTTTAGTTCTGACTATCATAAACGAAAACTGATAAACTTGTGGATAGTGTTTTTAAAATTGGAACGGACCAGGGAGTTCAACTAGTTGAACTGGGGAATCGGACCATCATCTGATCTGATTTTCACTTATAAACTGGAATGATCGAGAACAGGTCAAATCGGAAGTTGACCCAGTTCAGCCCGGTCGGTCTAACCGGATAAACAATTGAGCTACGCACTCGTGTTTGCTAAATAGCTTCAATAGGAACTTGCGTTTGCTAAATTGTGCAAATCGTCACCCCAGCGGTTCGGCCGGTTGAACCAGTTGACCAGCGAACCGAAAACCAGGCGGGTTCAATGACCGGCCCGGGTTTAAAAAACAAGGCTTGCGGGGGCGCATTCTCATTTGTTCGTGGACTAATGGGTCATTTTTTTGGGGCTTTCGTGAGAAGGGAACTAACCAATCACTCATTCAAGCAAGGATCTTGTTTGGTAATTATTGACGTAGTTCATGAGAATTAAAACTCAAAAATGACAATCTCCTGGCAGAAATTTTCGAAGTCTCACATATGAATCACTGCCAAGAACTGAGAATTCTATCGGGAGCAGACTCGTCTGATGCATGTGGATGAGGATCTTCGACTTTTCGGGAATGAGTCTCTGTCTGCCGTGTTCAAAATCGGGCTCGAACATTTAAACATCGCAGTCTCAGGGATTATGCTGCAGGAAGCTTCGCCCATGGAAGAGGTCAAGAACATGTCAGCTCATGCTCACCAGAGACTACACTTTTGCTGCTTACTTTCAGTCAAGGGACAAATGAGTTAGCTCGATGTATAGTCGTTGGCTTTCTCAGAAACTTCAGAGAGAGAGAGAGAGAGAGAGAGAGAGAGAGAGAGATGTAATGCTTTCTTTTTTCGCTAAGTAATCGGTGGGGAAATTTCATGTTACCCGCTGAATTTACCTTATGTTTATAGCTTTTAACTTCGTTAACTTTTTCCATTTACATGTGCCGTCAGCTGATTTTGGGGGCCTACAGTGTAATTCTAATAGTTCATCACTTATTTCGGGGCCGGAAGAAACATGAATTACAAAGACTTGAAGGAATGTCCTATGAGAATGTTTACACATGATGATAATGCCGGACCTTGGCTTCAATACCAATTGATGCCGCGAATAATCAAATAAAAGGGTTTTTGGATCTTGGAGGTTAGGAAGGAAGAGACTAGATAATCTATGTCTCGCTTAGCTAAATTACCAAATGACTCATGAATCCTAAAATCCATCAGAAGGAATAAAGAGAAAAACAATGAGAATGACAAGATAGGAACAAGTCATATGAAGCAAGTTATTTTTTTTAGGGTTAATACCACGAAAAATCCCAAATTGATACACCCGTGACAGATTTACCATAAACTAATTTTTTGACCATCAAAAACCCCAAACTGGTATATCTATGACAAATTTACCCTCTGTTAATTTCCGTTAAATTGGATTAATACTACGAAAAATCACAAACTGGCATAGCTATGATAAATGGAGGTAAAGCCCTAAACTGGTACACCGTGTCATACAACTCAGCAATTTGACAGTAAAATTTAACGGAAATTAACAGATGGTACAGGTATACTGGTTTGGGATTTTTAGTGGTAAAAAAATTAATTTATGGTAATTTTGTTACAAGTATACCAGTTTATGATTTTCTTTTTATATTAATCCTTTTTTTTATGGGTAAGTTCTTTATTCAACCATACCAGTCAAGAGTCTAGCAGAGATATGATAACTTTCTGCTTGAGGACGCACTGACCTTCATGCTGTGTTTAACAGCAAACAACCAACTTCAGTACTTGATCCACAGAAGGTTTGTTGTGATTGTGAAGAACATTATTTCCAGCCTGCCATACATAGTAAATGCAACCACTCCAAGCCAACTTGAGGATGATCGAGGAAAAACTGGGACCCTTGACTTGCTGCTGAAGCCATAGAAATTCAGATTCCTAATCTCCAGGAGTTCTAACAATAGAACAAAGATACAAAGGCAAAGCAGGGAAGAAACAACAGCCAAAGAACAGATAGTTTCTAGATTCATTGCATTGCCTACGGTGAAAGCAAACGACAGAAGTGGAAGGAGAAACCAACTCCCATTTCTGTCAAGAGCTTATTCAATATTGCCATCTGAGAGATCAAAGCAAACTCGGGAGCATTAGGTGCAAACCATATGATCCTATACCGACACACTTGAGGAGCCATGTTCCTAATTAGATCCCAAGTGGAGGAAATGATCAAAGCACCATTGGAAGACTATGGTGTTAACAACTCTATCTTCCAAAGCAGAATGGGGCGCAAGTGAACCGCATATCGCAGACTAGGATAGCAACAATAGCATAAGATCTAGCGCTAGGGAAAAACCAATTAGAATCAGATATTATGTCAGCAATCCTAGCAGAAGCAGGCAATGCAGCATTATATAACGCTCTGCGAGGGTAGACAACAAGATGGATCCCGTGGGGATGCTAATGATCAGTCCAAAGACAGATGGACTGGCCATTACCAATCTGGTTTTTAGTAAAAGGCTTAATCAAAGAACTGCCTTATAAAATCCTCCTCCAGGCGTAAGTACAATTGCTATTGGGAGTGGCAGACCAAATAATCCCCCTTCTTATATAATCCAAGCGATTCAAAGAGAACCAGATTTTAGCAGAAGCCTCCGAACACACTTTAGAATACAGTTAGTGTTCCACCAATCAAAACTTTCAAAACCCAAGTCCTCCCTCATGTTTAGGAAGACAAGTTTGGTCCCAACTGACCCTAGCACCAAATCATGCATCGTGCCTTCCCTTCCAAAAGAAAGAAAGACATCGCTCAATGACCTTCACGAATTTCATAGGAAGAATAACAACCTCGCACCAAATTATGGACTAAGCTATGGATCACAGCCTTGATCAATTGAAGCTTGCCAGCATATTTGAGTCTTTTAGCAGGCCAACGAGAAAATCTAGCTGTGATACGATTGATGAGAGGTTTACAGTTCTTATCAGACAATCTTCCAGAAATAAGAGAAACACAAGATATCTTACAGGTAACTGGCCCCTTTTAAAGCCACAAATCAGCAAGATTTCATAGACTGGATCTTCATTATAGCCAGAAGTGTATACCTCTGTCTTGTGAGGATTAACCTGCAAGCCAGATACACTTCGAAAGAATTGAAGGATATGGAGTATCCCATTCAAAGAACTAACATCACCTTTGAAAAATATCATTAAGTAGTCAGCAAAACATAGGTATGTTAATTGACTTAAGAGCAGGATGAATAATATTTGATCTTTCCACTTTGAGCTGCGGAGTTGAGAAGCCTAGATAAGGCTTCCATAACCAACACAAATAGGTAAGGGGACATTGGATCCCCCTCTCACACCCTTGCTCCCAGCAAAGAATCCCTATGTTAGAAGTATCAAGGGCAAAGTGGTCTTTAGGACTCTTAGGGTTTATTGGGTTACCATTGTATAAATACGGTATTTTGCTTAATAATAAATTAACTTTTCCTTCTCTAACATGGTATCAGAGCAACAAAAATTCTAAACCCTAAACAGCCGCTTACCACCGTCTACCACCAGTCGCCGCCGTGAACCATCCACTGTCGACCACCAACCAACCCCCTTCAATCAACCCCCTTCTCACCGGAATCTTTAGATCTCGCGTTGCCCAAGCCCGGCGAGCTCAGATCGAGTGTTACCGAGATCCGGCGAGCCTTGCCGGGGCGTCATCTAGGCCGGCGAGCCTTGCCAGGGCGTCGCCTGACGTTGCCTAGGCCCGGCAAGGCTAGATCTAGAGTCAGCAAGACCCAGTGACCCATGTAGAGACGTCACCCAACGTCACCGAGGCCAGCAAGTCCAAATCCAGTGCTGTCCATCGTCGGGGAGTCTTGTAGAGAGGTCGTCCAGCATCAGTGAGGCGTCGTCCATTGTCAGTGAGCCAGATTCAGCACCCATGTCTCTCGGTTAGGACCCACAGGTTTGATTTTTTGGCGACTTGATGGTTACTGAGCTTCACAGCAGGAATTTTTAGGCGTTATTTGTTGATTAGGCTTGATAATGATGTGGGTAGCGCTTTCTTCGAGATATGGATGTGTTTGTGGAATGTTTCTGAATTTTTCAGAACTTATGCGACGCTGATTAGGTGAATTTTGGAGATTTTGGAGTTAATTATTTGGGGCTTTGGTGAATTATTGAATTGTTAAGGATGGGTGATCTAAGTAAAATTGATGGTAGTTCTGGAAAGAGTGATACCGTGACGACCGAGGTAATTTCCTCTTCATCTTATCGAATTACTGACAAGAAGCTTGAGGGTATTACCAATTTTCAACAATGGAAGAAGATTGTTAAGTTTGTTTTGACGGGTAGAAATCAGCATATGCACTTGACTGAAACTAAACCTACTAATGATGCAAATTGGGATGTTATTGTTGCATGTCTTATGGGTCAGCTTTTGAACTCCATGGAGAGCAATATTGTAGACTTGGTAACTCATATTGATACAGTCAAGGACTTGTGGGAGTACTTAGATGTATTGTATTCTGGCCAGAACAATATTTCTAGGATATATGAACTATCACAGGAGTTTCACCAATCTGAGAGCAAAGGGCATTCTATTGATCAATACTTTGCTGATTTTAATAGAATGTATAAATAAATTGAATGCTCTCCTTCCTATTTCTTCTAATGCTGAACAAATGCGACTCCAAAGAGAACAGTTGGCTGTAATGAATTTTCTAGGAGGTCTTGCTCCAGCCTATGATACTGTTAGGTCTCAGATTCTTGGAGGAGAGACTATTGCGTCACTTAGGGATACATATGCTAGAGTTCTTCGAGCATCCCGTGGTTCTTCTCAGAGCACCACAGCTGTGGTTGATAATTCAGCTCTTGTTTCTCAATATCGAACTGGTGGAGGTAGGGGTGACGAAGGAAATCGTGGAGGGTATAATGGTTGTGGTGGCCGTGGTGGTCGAAGCACAGGAATAGGAAGAGGCCAAGGACAAAGGCAGCTTTATGGATCGGCCCAAACTACTGCTGAGAGCTCGGGGACTATTCAAACTTGTCATTATTATGGAAAACCTAGCCATATTCAAAAATTTTGCTACAAGTTACATGGTAGACCAGGACAGCAACAACAGTTTGCAAATGCTGCATCTGGCACTGACTCTTTGTCCCTACCACAGCCGTCACAAGGCAATGTAGTGGTTATGTCTGATGAGGAATTTGCACGGTACAACCAGTCTCAGATTTCACTACCTACTTCGTCTTCCACTGCTACTCTAGTCCAGACAGGTAATGCTACTGCATGCGTTTCAGCTAGTTCTCACCCTTGGGTCATTGATTCAGGGACATCTGATCACATGTCAGGTCTTTCAGGTATATTTTCCTCTCTTACTCCATCATCGTCCACCGTTACTTTAGCTAATGGTTCATCTACACATGTTAAGGGAGTTGGCACAGTTCATCCAACTCCATCACTGCCTTTGACCTCAGTGCTTTATCTTCCACAATTTCCTTTTAATCTCATGTTAGTCAGTAAGTTAACTAAAACCTTTCAGTGTTCAGTAACATTCTATCCTGATTCTTGTATATTCCAGGATCTGGCTACGAAGAGGACGATTGGTAAAGGACGTGAGGAAGGGGGACTGTATGTGCTTGAAGACTCAACTTCCTTTGCATGTTCTGGTGTTACTTCTCTACATCAGATCCATTGTCGTCTTGGTCATCCTTCTCTACACAGTCTTCAGAGATTGAATTCCAGTTTTAAATCTATTTCTAGTTTAGAGTGTGAGTCATGCCAACTTGGCAAATTACATCGTATTAGTTATCCGCCTCGAGTCATTAAACGAACAGAGTCTCCATTTTTGTTAGTTCATTCAGATGTTTGGGGTCCATGTCATGTGACTTCCAAGTTGGGTTTTAGATGTTTCGTTACTTTTGTTGATGACTATTCCAGAGTTACTTGGTTATATCTAATAAAAAATCGTTCTTAGTTGTTTTCTATATTTCGCGCATTTATATCTGAAATCTTTACTCAGTTTGGTGTGCATGTTAAAGTGTTGCGTTCTGATAACGCTAAGGAGTACTTTTCTGCACCTTTTTCTGATTTTATGACACAGCATGGTATGATTCATGAATCTTCATGTCCTGAACACCACAGCAGAATGGTGTTGCTGAGAGGAAGAATAGACATTTGTTGGAAGTTACTAGATCTATGTTATTTGAGATGAAAGTCCCTAAAGTCTTTTGGTCTGATGCTGTCTTGACTGCATGCTATCTCATTAATCGCATGCCTTCCTCTGTTCTATGAGGTGGTATTCCATTTTCTACTTTATTTCCAAATCAGCCACTATTTGCCTTACCACCTCGTGTATTTGGTTGTGTCTGTTTTGTTCGTGATCATCGACCTGGAGTATCCAAACTTGATCCCAAGGCTATCAAGTGTATGTTTCTTGGTTACTCCCGTACTCAAAAGGGTTATCATTGTTATTCTCCCTTACTGAACAAATACTTCATAAGTGCTGATGTCTCATTCTTCGAATCCACTCCATATCATGATGTTCCAATTTCTATGTCTGAGTTGGATGAAGAATTACATGTGACTACAATTCGGTCAACTACTCCAGCTGTTTCACCTGCGTCTACACAGGAACCACCTCCTCTACAGGTTTATACTCGGCGTCCTCGGGTTCATACTCCCCCCCTTCCTCCTGTCACGACTGCGTCATCTTCCGTCCCAGATCCACCATTAGTCGATTCTCCTCATGTGTCAGATCTTGATCTTCCAATAGCTCATCGCAAAGGTACACGTGCCTGTACACAACATTCTATCGCAAATTTTATTTCATACTCTTCTGTGTCTCCTTCTTTTCGATCATTTTTATCTACTGTTGACCAATATCCTATTCCCAAGTCTGTATCTGAGGCATTACAAATTTCTGGGTGGAGGACAGCAATGGAAGAAGAGTTAAAAGCTCTACAGGTAAATCAAACTTGGGACTTGGTACCTCTTCCTTCAGGCAAAACTGCTATTGGTTGTAGATGGGTGTATGCTGTCAAAGTTAATCCCGATGGTTCTCTTGCTCGCTTAAAAGCGAAACTTGTTGCGAAAGGATATGCTCAGATGTATGGGATTGACTATCTGGATACTTTCTCTCCTGTTGCCAAGCTTACTTCTGTTCGTATTTTGATATCTCTTGCTGCCACCTATCATTGGCCTTTATTTCAGCTTGATGTTAAGAATGCCTTTTTGCATGGTACTCTACATGAAGAAGTTTATATGGAGCAACCTCCAGGGTTTGTTGCTCAGGGGGAGTCTGGAGGAATGGTTTGCAAATTAAAAAGATTTTTGTATGGTTTGAAGTAGTCTCCTCGGGCATGGTTTGGAAGATTTTCTGAAGCTGTACTTTCTTTTGGACTGTCTAGATGTGACAATGATCACTCTTTCTTTTATAGACAGTCAAGGAAAGGCAAATTATTCTTGATTGTCTATGTGGATGATATTATTATCACGGGAGATGATTTAGTTGGTATAGATGAACTAAAGATCTATCTTCAGAAACAGTTTCAGACTAAAGACCTAGGAAAATTGAAGTATTTCTTAGGAATTGAGGTGGCACAGTCACAGAAGGGTATTGTTCTGTCACAACAAAAATATGTCTTGGATTTACTCATTGAGACAGGCATGTTAGGATCCAAGCCTCTTGATTCACCCATGGAACAAGGAGTTAAACTGGCTGCCGAAGGAGGAGAGCTATTCGATAGTCCTGAGAGATATAGAAGATTGGTAGGCAAACTAAATTATCTCACAGTTACTCGACCAGACATTGCCTTTCCAGTTAGTGTGGTCAGCCAATTTCTGTCTTCTTCTCGTACTTCTCACTGGGATGCAGTAATTCGAATTTTAAGGTACTTGAAGAAGACTCCAGGGAAAGGCATTATTTATCAAAATCATGGTCATAGTAGAGTTGAAGGATTTTCTGATGCTGATTGGGCAGGGTCTCCAGATGATAGGAGATCTACTACTGGCTACAATACATTGGTTGGAGGAAATCTAGTGTCATGGAAGAGTAAGAAACAGAGTGTTGTTGCCCGCTCCAGTGCTGAATCAGAGTATAGAGCCATGGCACAAGCAACATGTGAATTAGTGTGGATTCAGCAGCTGTTGACTGAGTTAGGCTTGAAAGTTTCAATTCCTATGTCTCTATGGTGTGATAATAAGGCTGCAGTACATATAGCATCTAACCCGGTGTTTCATGAGAGAACAAAACACATTGAGGTTGATTGTCATTTTATTCGAGAGAAGCTGCAAAGTGGAATGATTCTTCCTAGTCATGTTAGAACTGGTGAACAACTTGCAGACATTTTTACTAAATCTTTGGGTAGCGGGAGGATAGAATATATTTGTAACAAGCTGGGCATGATTAATATCTATGCTCCAGCTTGAGGGGGAGTGTTAGAAGTATCAAGGGCAAAGTGGTCTTTAGGACTCTTAGGGTTTATTGGGTTACCATTGTATAAATACGGTATTTTGCTGAATAATAGATTAACTTTTCCTTCTCTAACACCCTCCAAGGAGCCATTGATACTTACGAAGAAAGAAGGTGATCTTATATAGTTTTTAATCTTGCTCACAGTTGAATAAACTCCCAATTCAAGGGGTCAGAGACTTTCCTTAAGTCAGCTTTAGTCATGCATCTCAAGGAAGTACCAGCTTTATGATAGCTTTTCACTAGTTCGTGAGCTAATAAAATATCATCACCAATACATCTACCCTACGCAAAAGCAGATTGAGAAATGTAGTATTTTGCCAAGTCTATTATTTAAAACCATAGTGATGCATTTATAGGCAATGGGCCTAAACTCAGTCATCCTGGAGGCAGTGACAGTTTAGGCTCAATAAATAGCTGTAGAATCAATCTTGTTAAGGGGCTTGGAAGATTAGAAGAAATTAGATATAGCAGCACAAAAATCATCACCAACCACACTCCAAGCTGAGGTAAAGAAAATCCATCGGAACCTGGAGCTTTACCACCATCAGTGACCAGAAAACTTCCTTAATTTCCTCGTGTAACAGGCTAACTAAGACGAAGTTGAAGCTAAGCTGGTAACTTATACTTCAAGATGCCTTCCAAAGACAACAAATATATCAGTACAATCAGTTCCAAGAAGAGTTAATTAGCAACATCTTCAGAATATAAAACTCCCACGGTCTGCTTTAAATTTTTAAGCTCGAGAGATTCACGAAAGAAGCTTAATTCTGATCACCAAGCTGAATTTGGTTATTTTGGATTTTTGTCTAAGGAAAGAGTTCTTGAGCTCGATTACTAGAATAGAAAGTCAAGATACTTGAACTCAATCTAGCTCAACTTGAATACAATCAATTTATAAAACAACACGAGCTTGAGAACTTGAAAAGGTTGAATGTGTTGGGGTGTGGTTCATACTCCTTAGCAACAGGACAGTACAGGGATCCCGCTCCCCAGTGAGCGAGCAGGGGTTTGGGAGGCCACCCCCGCGGGGGTTGTATGGGGCAGTGCCCCTAAAAGCCAGAGTTTTTTATATTTTTGAATTCGTGATTTTATTAGTAGTTTGGGTTTAGGCCATGAATAGCTACTATACATAATATATATATATATATATATATATGTATATTCTATTTCTCTTGTAATTGAGGGATATAATAAAAAGGTACGATGTGTTAATTACAGTGGAATCGTCAGCTAGACGTAGCCTTAGTATAAAGATGAATCAAGATAAAACCTTGCGTCTAAAATTCTCTTTCTTGCACTTTTTCTCTATTTTATTTGTGATTGTGCAACGAATCCTAATAGAATGGTACATCATATGATTTTGGGGATTTCTGTGTCTTTCATAACTATTCAATATCTTTGAAAAAAATAATAGAAGCTTGATGCTTAGGCTAGCAAGCTTGTCAAGTTCAAACTCCACCCATCAAGCTACCTGAGCAACTCAAAATCAGACGAGTGGATCTCAAGAATTATCGAGCCGAATTCGAGTTAGTCACAAGTAGCTTGACTCAGTTTCATTTGTATTTGGAACTTGTTATATTGGTATATTCAGATTATACGACGATACTAAGAGTGTATATCATAAGTTTCAGGTTCTGAAAACTTAGAACTTGTACTTACATGTAAGTTTCTAGGTGGCTATAGGTTTCTTGCATGTATATTTGCGCACGACGGCATTCACCAAATAATGGAGCCTATGTCCTTTCCTCCGGGTGTATAATATGGATTCATTTCAATCTAGTTCTATCTACACCATAGGGGATAAGAACACAATAAGTATCATAGCTTTCGAACAGTGTTTACTTGAGTGTCATAATTTTTTTTTTTCAACCACTTGAATATCCTGACTTCTAAAACACGATCAGTTGAGTGCTATAACTTTCAATCGATCACTTAAGTACCATAATTTTTTAAAAATGTCGATCGATTTGTCGAAAATCCGACGTGACGTAGCACTTTTGGTACATTTTTTAAAAAGTTATGGCATTCAAGAAATTGATTTTTTTAGACACTTTTAAGGTGTAAATCATGTTTTTTTACAACACTTTTGCACTCAAAACGTCATGAAATATAATTACGGCACGAGAAGAATTTTTTTTATTTAATTACAACGGCGCGCTGTATAGCTATACGGTAAAATGGGTGTACCGTACAAGATCCTCAGGTTGGAAATCCGGTTTAATTCCAACCGTGGTGATGCTTGGAGGGGTTCAGGTCCCAATAGATTTGACGGTTAAGATGTGTCTCGCATCCCATCCGACAGAATCGCACGCCCCATGCAATGAATCTGCCGCCCTAACATTAATACTAGACAACAAAGCTCAGCTGAATTGGTCGGCATTAATGCCAAGGAAAAAAAAAACATGATGGTGTCTGGGTGAGACCGTGATTCTGGATTCAATCGTGTTGTCCTTGTCCCCCCCCCTATCTGATGCGACGATTTGAACCTGGTTAGCGACTTCATCGACGTCGTTTGCTGTCTCTGAACATACCATGATTTGACCATTTAGAAGCTTTGCCGATAAAACGCATTGCCTGGCGATCCGGGAAAGTCCGTTTTGGCTTGTGTTTGTCGTTGAATCGTCACCACTGGGGGTGATCGATTTTCGGTTTGATCCAATAAAACTGATCATTTAAGATTTAATTCATATTTTACTAATTTTTATCAATGAAATTCACTTAAGGTTTAGTTTACATTTTACTAGTTTTTTTCTATATGATTCCCTCTTGAAACCGGGAATCAGACTGTCCAGACATCAGTTCTACTTTTAGGAACCGAGAAGCGAACCAACACTTCCGGAAATAGGATCAAACTGGCCAATTCGATCTGGTTTGAGTGGTCCGTTTGGCACACAAGTCACCGCGAGCCACTCAACTAAAGCATTGGGTGATGGAAAGTCGTCATCTTTTGATGGTCCATCTTCTGAATGGTATAGTCACAACCGACGGGGATCATGGGTGTAAATGCTGCTGGACCGAGCAGTTGATGCAAAATAGCGGTGCTACTGCCACCGAATTTTTTTTTAAGAAGAATAGGTTTGATGAATATATTCGAACCTACCCATTCAGTAAGAAGCGCTTTCACCGTTCCGTTGGGATCTGAATTTGTAAAGGACCTGCTATCTGTTTGTTGAAATTCCTGAACCATTTCCTTTTTGTATTTCGGAGTGGTGGTGTCTCTGGGTATGTTGGGGCTTGGGGGACTCCTCGAGGAATCGTTCGTCAGAAGATTGCTAGTCCTTTGATCACAAAAAAAGTAGATTTCAGTTTATCATAGAAAGTTTTGTGAGTGTTTGTGTGTCGACACACTTTTATAGAAACCACGGCAAAATATATTCGGTAAGACGCATTATGATAGCAGATCATAGATAATATCCGCGGCCGTGTTAAAAAAAAATGGAAGAACTTCCTTCCGGTGGTGTAATTGTAAGCATGCAGCTTATCATTTGCATGTCTTTCATAGGCTCGCATTGTTTTTACCTTCTAGATGGCTGTAACACTCCTTAATTTATCGAGTTAGTCAACAAAAATAATTTCGAAAGAACTAATTAATCAAAATCACAAAAAGAAAGGGTGAAAGTCGGTATTTTTTTAAAAGGCAAAAGCCACACATCGTAACGAAAATACACGGCTTTTTTTTAGCGGATCAGTCTCTTTTTTAACCAAAGAATTCCCCTACAAAAATTTAAAGTAAAGAGTTGAGTATTACAAGGAGTTATTAGAAATAGGGCTACTTTGAACAATTTAAATTTTAAGGTATGTCTAAAACTATTTGAGAGGCGGAAATAACGGCGGCCTTGCATATACAGGACATGATAATGGAGACACCCCATTCTAATTTCAGAATGCAATGGATCAACTTACATTTTATCTCCCTGCCTTACTTTCTCTTCATTAATAGGGGTTCGGCAGTGACTTCTCTACCTGTATCTGGGGGCGGACATTTATTCCACCCCCGCATTGGCACGATCAGATCAACGTGTTCGCTAGGAAAGGGTCACGAAAATTTCCAAGACTTTAATGTATCCGCCATCCATGCCGACACTATGCTTATCAGCGGAAGAAATGGCCATGTTTTGCTAAGATTGTGAGGCATGGACAATTTGTCTAAGTCAATGATCTTGGTCCTGATCAGGCAAAACAGAAGGCAAATTTGCTTGGCCCACTAGCTTTGAAAGTTGCCGTGAGAACTCGCTCGCCTCGCATTATCTTACCGCAAAACGTTTAGATGATGGTTGTGGGCAGTGCAGGCTGGTGATGCTGCAAATTTATGATATCGATGTGGGAGGCAGATGAATGGCAGTTGGACTAAATTAAAGCCCTCATATATAGATCAGAGCAGGAGGAGTAGTATATGTAGACATCTTGGGTAGTCTCTAAAAGAGTGACTTCGTGTACTCCCATATACATTCCTCTCTCGTAAGAACGTTAAGAAATGGGTGGCCCTTTAACTCTCGAAGCAGAGGTTGAGGTTAAGTCTCCTGCAGACAAATTCTGGGTGAGCCTGAGAGACTCAACCAATCTGTTCCCTAAGGTCTTCCCCCAACAGTACAAGAGTATTGAAGTTCTTGAAGGAGATGGGAAAGCTGCTGGCTCAGTTCGCCTCATCACATATGCTGAAGGTAAAATGTTGGTGATCTTAGTGAAGCATCTTCGTGACTGCTGTCCTTTTACTGAAATAGATAGCAAAGCGCGCTAAGAGCGAAAAGCTTTGGCGGTCGAACTTGATCCAACAAACGTATCACCTCTTAATCGGGGTACTTGGCTCCCAAGAGTACCTTAGATCTAACAAACTTGAAAATTTCAGATGCCATGAGAATGATCAGGTGAATTCTTTGAAGAGGATGGAACTGATCATTAGTATTGATTATTCTCTGAAGATCTTGAAAATGAGGTTGTAATAGGAAAGCATGCGGTGCATGTGGATGAAAAAAGAAACTCTTCTTAAAAGTTAGACTTTCACTTACGTTGGTTGCCTCTTGATTTGTGCTGCTTCCTTTGACTTTGGACTGCAGTTTTGTAAGAAATACTGAAAAGTAAACGACAAGTTATATGATTGAGCTAGTATAACGACACTGAAAGAGGCTGAGTGAGAAAAAACAGCTTGAGACTCCATTTCTTTCTTTACCAGTGTTTTTTTTGGCCAAATATCTTCTCCTGTGAGCAATCAAGATCCAACCAGAAAGATCATTTTGGCGTGAATTTCACTTAAAGTGGATTTTTGTCACAAACATCATCTAAACTTGATTTAAAAGTGAGGATCTTATCACTTCTCCGACATATTTTCCATGGTCTAGGTTCTCCACTTGTTAAAGTATCAAAGGAGAAGATTGATAGTGTGGATGAAGCAGACAAGTTCGTGACCTACAGCATTATAGATGGTGATCTCCTGAAGTTCTACAAAAATTTCAACGGCTGCATCAAGGTAATTCCTAAGGGAGATGGAAGCTTGGTGAAATGGTCATGTGGATTTGAGAAGGTGAGCGAAGAAATTCCTGATCCCCACGTAATCAAGGACTTCGCAATCCAGAATTTCAAAGAGCTCGATGAGTTCATCCTCAAGGCATAGATGCTGCCGATCGCCTACTTGGATTTGCACTAAAAGTCAAGTAAATAATGTGGAGCTGGACTCTGCACTTTTATATGCATCTAGTATGAGATCCCTCGGCTGTCTCTGTTTGTATTTACTTGGAGTTGGTGGGTTTTCTATTAAGCTCTCTTTACTGCCTCCGAAAATACCTTCCCCCTCCCCTGCAATCTAGATTTAACAATAGCAGATGAAGTTCGCGGTGATAACCGAACCCCATGCATCTGCCCGATGAACAATTTTCAATCATAAAACTAGGTACTGAACAAAGCAATAAAGAATACAAGACATTAGGTTGAGAAACAGCGAAGCGAATCAGATCAGATAGCTCATGCTTACGACATCTCCGTTTACTCCAGTCAAGCCACCAGTCCACTAATCTTTAGAGTTAATCAACGAGCAAGAGGACATCCTTTCCAATGCTGGCATGCAATAATGTCATTCTCAGGACTCCACAGCAGTTTTTCAGTCTAAGAAGTTTCTCTGATGCACACCTAAATTAGGTGGTGCAGGGATCATCTTAATATTTCCCCTGTAAAATTAGTAAGGGAAGGAGAGATTAAACATCCCGAGTCTTCAAAGTGTTCAGCATTATTAACCTTAGAAAAGCATGAGAGGCATGTCAAATAAGATGAAGTGCCTTGATATTCTGCTGAACAAGCTCGATGGTCTCCTTGGCTCTCAAGCACCACAATGGCTATTGCCGTCAGGAAGTTTTAAGCAATATGAATGTTGTGCTGCCTTCAAAAACTCTTCCATTGCATGCCTCCCGATCCCATCCTTTTGGCATCATCAATACAGGATGAAAGATCGAACATTTTGAGCTAGAGATGGATCCGAAAACTGAAAGCTTTTCGAAATTCAGTTTTGTTGAGGAGAAGACAGATAATAAAAGAACCAAACAACCCAGAGAACTGAATCATTGCAAGTGAAATGCTCCAGCCTATCTTGTGCATAAACATCTCAGCAGGTGCAACATATAGTTTGCTAATTCCATTTTTTACATGCCATGAAATGCATGTAATGTCAACAGAAGGAAAACCAGGGAACTTTCGGGGAAAAAAAAGGCCGGTTCCCCGGCCGCCCCCCCCCCCCCCCCGGGCCAAACAGAAAGTGGAAAAGCAAGTATGAGAAGAAAAAAGAGCGAAAAGAAAAATCAAGTTGTACATTACAAAGTTTCTCATGATAACATACAAGCACACAATTTCTGATTGAGGTGTTATCTACAAGAGTATACATGTCTCCAACAGTAACCAGGACCACTGCCCAAATGTATCTATCTCCAACTTCTGGCAAGAGGAACCAGATGGGCATGAGTTTCCTCTGTCAAGTCCCTTGAGCAAAATCAAGCAAGAGATAACTTGTAGAACGAATGCTGGAGGACGGTCCTTCTTGCACCATTGTAGTATGTATCATGTACAGATTCAGCAACCCGTTAAGGCACATCCATTAAGCAAAAACTGAAGAACTCACTTTTGAGGCTTTCCAGGATCATTGTTTTGTTTCCTTCAATTATACTGGGCAGGATGTTCTATACTTGAGTCTCCTCTTGCAAAAGAGGTACTTTGTTGCCACGAGAATCCCCATTTCTGTTGTCATGATCGTCACGTGCTTTGCCCTCTCTGATTTGTCCCCACATCAATGAATAATATCCTATTCCTACTATGAACGCTCCTATGATGCTGCGATTAGCCAACAACATACTTAAGATTGGATCATTGACAGAGGCATAGGCCAAATGGATACTTAAAATTACAAAGCAATATATTTCAACTACGGCACAGGCAGTTCATTTCTCACACTTTTGCCATGACGAGCTGAATAATTGATGAGAGTGCAGGGCAAGCCCTATCAAGAATTTATACTTTAGTCCTCTGAGTTGGTGAAGATCCAATAAAAGAAAAGATTCCAGCAACATGTGTCCAATCTCTACCGTCATGAAATGCAACCATTTATTCATCATTTAGGACACTCTTTGAATCATATGAGCTTCCCATTGCATTGTGTTATTGATGGAATAGAAACAGAGAAAGGCTCTGCAGGCAAAAATGTGCTAGATACTGTGCTTTCAAGTTCCCAATTTTTTATGAAAAGAATATTCAAATTCCTCTCCTGGACCAATTTTCAGGTCGTTTCTAGTCTCACCCAGTTGCATCAATAGCCTTTGAAAATCATTTCGGGTGACAACAAGATATGATTTTTACCTTCCATAATGATGGCTATTTGCAAAGAAGCAAACAGCGAAGAAGCATGCATATAGGATCGCGAATGGCTTAAACATGGGAACATAGAAAGGACCCTTTGCTTGACTGCACCATATTTGGACTCGTGCCCGAATTACTCTTCCAAAAATCGCCTGTGGCATGCATTAGTGATAGTCAGAGGGTACCATAACATAAACATTTTTTCTTTTTTCTATTTAATTTCTGTAAATTTATGCTTTGGTAAATGATACCGAGTGAGTACTAAGTAGCTATGTACTTACGGTTGAAATTATCAAGAGAAGCTTCAAATCCAGTTTTAGCTTCCATGCGCTTAGGTTTCTCTCTACGGCAAAAGAGACTACTGCACATTGAAGAGTACCAACTAAACTGTAGAAAGATACCACTTTCATCGCTTGTGGGTACAGCGTCAATGTTCCAACCTGACAAATAAAGCAACATTATCATTAAGCATGCAAAAGAAACATATAAGTTTTGTCTTTTCTTTTTCTTTTTCTTTTTTGTTTTGTGGCTGAATAATGTAAAAGACTGTTAGAGTTTCATTAAGAAATGAAGCAGTACCTGAATGATGTTCCATACAGCGACAGATAAGGACGCACCAGCTAGCAAAATGCCACCAACAGCCCAATGATCAGGTGTCGAGGAGTAGACAAATTGCTGTTGATGTTGAAGTCGATTGGAGGACGAAACCGAAGAGTTACTGACGACAGGTCCCTTGTAGAGATCGACAAATATTGCCCCCACAACAGAAATTAAGGTACCGATTACTTTCGCTCGGATGCTTGTGCTCTCCAGTCCAGCTTTATCGTCCTAATATTGGTAAAGTATAGTTCATTCACTTTTTCATTTCCAGAGGCACACATTTACGAACTACCAGCAATCCTTACTAGCTCAGGACTTTGACATAATATCATCACGTTAATTATCAGACAGAGAAAGAACAAAACAGTTTAGAAAGGGTGAAGACCTGAGTAGTATTGCCAAGAGGAAGAAAAATGTCGGAACCAAGTGTACCATTGCGCACACAAGAATCGGAGAACTGAAATCTAGGCCAATGAAGACGAGGTTCTGAGTAATGGTTATCCTGCAAGAACAAATCATTAACAGGTTACACTTGATTCTCAATGCCTTCGCGGACCAAAAGAGGAGAGAGATATGTATTGATCCAACAGAAACCAGCCAAATAAACATATTCTGTTTCTTCACATTCGTGTGGTGTCCCCATGAACAGGTCCATTTTGAATTGGTTCCCACTTGTCAAACTTCAAGGTACATGTATTGAGTCTATGATGTATATCTCATAGACTTTCAAGAGCTAATGATTACAAGACCATACTGTGTATGGTCTGTGCAAAGCACTCGGCACAACAAAGTACATTCAAGGAATTAAGACCGCCAATTTAGCCCCAACCATTACTGAAGCAGAGTAGATATTGATTGAGCGAAAAGTATGAATAGGACAGTGGCCTGGTAAAATTTCGAAACGAACAATAGCTGGGCTGGTTGGCGCTTGAACCACCCAACTTCAAGCCTTTAAAAGCCTTACCGATGCCACCGCCACATGGAACATCTACAAAGAAGGTGGTAACTTCTGGCTCGGGTCAGCCTGACGAGGCTGAGCTCGACCATAAAGAAGAGCTGACATGTCCAAGTCGTCCCAACTCAAAATTTCCTTCAATTTGGGCTCAAAAACTCTCCCGACTTTGGTCCATTGATTGGAGGGCCTCTCGAGCCCGTCGAGCTGAGCAACAATTAGGTGTAGATGGTGGGGTGAGCATCGGTCCGGTTCCAGTGATTGGAGGGCCTCTCAAGCCCGTCGAGCTGAGCAACAATTAGGTTTAGATGGTGGCGTGAGCATCCGTCCGGTTCCAACCCGAGAATCGGACTAAACCAGCCGTTCTTGGACGGTTCCAGTTCCCGGTTCCAAGTGCAGAACCGACCGCCCAAATTGGATCAGACTAATTTGCTTTTTTTTTTTAATCTTTTTCTATATGCTTGGGTTGCATTTCTTTCTGACCTTAAGCAAAAATAGAGTCAAGACTACAAATTTGTTTGTCCATATTTATGTATTCTTTTATTATTTAACATATGTTGATACGATGCCATGTAATAGAATAATGACCACAACATCCAGTTGAAGACTTATCGATCATCAATTAGCGCCACACCCCCGATCATGTACATTTTTTGACGAAAAACCGAACATAATGCTCTCTTTTTTTTTCTTTTAATGTTGAAAAGCTCCCACTTGTAGCTCTTTAACCGAGAAGATGCATATGGAAAGGTCAAACAAAAACCGGTACAGAAAAGAACAAATTGGAAGGTGAAACCATTTGAATTCATCAGAACAAAATGTAGGTACGATTGCTATAGTAGATGGTGGAAGCAACATCACAAAATGCTTTTGGAGTTCATGATGCATGGAATAGAAGAAACCAAAAATTTTAAAAAGGAATTACCGGTTCCGGAATCGACTTTGAAAAAGGAATGAACAGTTCGGTCCAGTTCCAAGTTTCAGGGTGGGAACCGACCCACCTTAAAATCGATTACCCCTAAATGATAGAAACTGCATCTTTCAAAAAAGAAAAGAAAACAAGAAACATAAGGGGAGAAGAAATGTTGAGATTGTGTTTACATCAAAATCGGCATAGATGTCAAGTCGGTTTAATGTCAAAATCCGACGGACAATGGAGCTCAGTCGTCTGCCGAAGTACGTTTGGATAAAATTCGGGAATGTAGTAAGCGTGAATGGCACCGTGTCCCGAATTCTGTGATTGGAGAGAATCGGTAATTTTACCGAAACATGAAAAGTTTACATTTCGGGAAATGCTGAAACTACCGAATATCGGCAAGATCACAACCCAGCCACATGAATCGTGACAACAGGAAGTTATGAGCAAAAAGCGGAGATAGTAAGCACGAGCAGATCGTGGGAGATTATTTATCCAAATTGAAAGTCATCCCAGCGGTTGAGATCAAGTTTTGGTGGACAATGAAATTGGAAAACGTGGGTAGATAAGACAGTTATTGAAAGCGCCAAGATTCAAAGTTTGAAAACAAAGAAGTAACCGACAAGCAGTTACAGGATAGGAGAAGATATAAATACTCAGAAGAAAGAAGAAGAGAAAGGATCAACAACAATGCAAAAACACTCAAGCTTATATGCACTTTAGTTTCCTCTGCACTTTTACTTCCTGCGTTTACAGCTTCCTGTAGCTTTAGTTAACCTTCAAGTCCTTTACAGCTTTCATAGGAGTATTGTAACGTAGTTAGAAACTTTGTTGATCTCATATCCATTTTCAATCCACTCAATTTCTACCCGCTTCCATATAACCCTGCACTACACTCTGTTTTTCGCCACGATTTTCCTAGAAATCAAGCCACAGAACCTACTTTAATAAAAATCGAAAATCGAAGTTTCGGTGAAGGATATTCCTCGTCGTAAAACGAGCGAACATCTTTTTGGCACGCTCGGTGGGACCTGCGTGGTAAGATTTGGAGAAATGGTGAGAACTAGGCAATCTGAAGGAATACCGGTCGACAACGTCAATAATCCAGTTGATGAAGCACGTTCTGAACACTCTGCGGCTAATCAAGTAGAGGAGAATGCCAACATTCCTCGGCAATTAACTGAAGAACAAGCCCGTTCGTTGGCACCAGATAACACCTTGGTAGCCACGATAAAAAGGATGTTTGAGGAACAGCAGAACGATCTTACCAATCATATGGTGCGACATGTAACTGATGTGATAAAGCCCATGGTGATCAATGCTATAAATGAGGTAATATCGCATCCCAGTTCATCTTCTCAAGTTCCACCCTTATATGCAAATCCTCCTGGGACAACATCATTCCCACCAACATCGGGACCTCCTCATGTTGGATATAATGGTAATGGGGGATCAAATTCTCAACCTCCTGTTAAAATTATACCAAGGCCAGAGAATCCTACCCCTATAAACCTTGTGAATGGTGTGAGTGCTTATAATTTCCCTCAAAATGCCTCAAATGAGGTTAATTTGATTAATTCCATGGCCACAAATGCACCATCAGTGATGAATGTACCTCTACCAATAAATATGCCTAATGTTGACCATATCAGATCACCTGCGCCTCAACCATATCCTCATATGATAGAAAATCCTCTTTATAGACCACCACTACCCGTTAATTTCAACATGGAGCAGCAAGGGGGTGAATCGACCTCAACAGTTCGATCTTAGAGGTCAAGATCCTTGGTTAGGCCAGCAAAATTTAAGGCCATGGAACCCAGATAGAGTTGCAGAATTGGTAATACAACAATTGGGAGCAGAGAGAGGAATGCCAAGGCCAGTGTATAGAAAACCACATCCCGATTGGGTTGACAATATACCATATCCGAGGGGTTTCAAGATGCCAAATTTTGCTGTATTTACAGGAGAAGAAGATCAGTCAACTGTGGAACATGTGGGTCGATTCTTAGCACAATGTGGAGAAGCTGGAACTAATGAGTATTTAAGGTTAAGGTCGTTCCCACTATCTTTGTCAAAAACAACGTTCACTTGGTATACGAATTTGCATGCGAATTCTATTCGGACATGGACGGAGATGGAAAGGCAGTTCCATTCTCAATTTTACCGAACGATACCAGAGGTAACGGTAGCCAATTTGGCCAGGATGTATCAATATGGTACCGAAACGGTAGATCAGTTTATTGCACGTTTCAAGAAATCCAGAAATCGATGTTTAACATCACTTACTGAAAAGGAGTTCACGGATTTGGCTTTTAATGGCTTGAGGTTCAACCTTAAAGAAAGATTTGAAGGACAAGCATTTGACGATCTCTTTCAGTTGAACGCACGGGTTTCCAAGTACGAACACTTGTTGAAGGAGAAAGATAAGAAGCCGAATAAGGACAATCGGCATACAGTGGCATTTGCTGAAAATACCGAACAAGGTGATGTAGCCGAAGAGGAGAATGAAATAGCCGTAGCAACTATGGTGCTTGAAAAACCATATGTGCGCCCAGCACTAAAGCCAGCCAGGATGAGAGATGCATCCAAGTTCAAGGCTAAGGAGACAAATAACTACTCCTTTGACATCTACAAGTTGGATGAAATATTTGACATGTTGTTGAAGGATGGAGTGATCAAGTTATCTGAAGGGCAAATAATTCCGCCAAAGGAGGAAATGACAGATAAGAGGTATTGCAAGTGGCATCACTCTACAACTCATGATACGGTGAATTGCATTGTATTTAGGAAGACTATTCAAGAGGCAATTCGCCAAGGCAAAATTAAGTTTGCTGAAGACAAAGGCAAGGCCCCAATGGAAGTGGACATAGACCCTTTCCCGAACATGATTAGTATGGTTAACATACGAGATATGACAGGCGACGATAACAAGTAACTTTGCACTCGTTGTCACCAAGAGCTAATTCATCAGGATCGGGAAATACCCAAGTTCCAATACATGAGAGGAACAAGGGGGAGATATCGATCGGAATCGTTTGTCCGCAGAATAGGTAGACCACAGGTAAAATCTGAGATTGTTGCTACCGAAAATTGTACGGTACAAGCTAGAGAACAGGAAGTTCAATCAAGACAAACAGCACATGTTCCCGAAAGAAAAAATGTTAGTCGTAGATATGAGAGGAAGGAATATCACCATGATTCATCGCAACCAGCTTTCCCACTTCAGGAATCGGCCACTCAGGTCCATAAAGAAAAAGAAACATTACCCAAACCTGCAAAGAAAAAGAACTTATGGCAACGATATAAAGATGGTGATCCTAAAATCGGATTGCTTGGAGAACCTAGTGGGAAGTTTGACTATGTGGTCTATTACGGAGATACGGATGACTATACACCTCCGTCATTACCAATTGTGCCGACTGGCTGGGGAGATGAGTTTGATGATCCACCACCATCAAATTCCCAGGAAATCCACAAGCGAAAAACAGTTAAGGTGCCACACAATCCTCCCGAAGGAAAATGGTCAACAGTTAAATCGCCAGGACAAGCGTCTTACAGAACCATCAAGAGGCGTTTTCAGCGGATGAAAAACAGGCAAAGGAATTTCCAGAATAGCCGAGCTAAAAGTACAGCAAAGCAGGATTTACCTTT